TCCATGGAATATAACAAAAAGTGTATCTCGCCGGTTTCTCAAACGTACCTACCCCACCTTTAAAGAACATGTTGATGATGATGCTTTAATGCTTTTGGTTTAGTTTAGTTTGACTGCAGGACAATTACTATTGGAGTATTACAACACTGTAGTATTACTAGTTTTACTTAAGTAAATACTAAGTACTTCTTCCTGTGGTCTTATTTTGCATCCAAGAACATGAAAGTAAAACACCTGCAGAACTTCCTGCACTCTTAACTAAATAAAAGTAATGTTATGCACGTTTACACAACCCCATAGAGACACATGCTGTCCTCTGGATGGAGTACGGCTGGCATGGGACACTGAGGCACTGCCGAATAACTGAGCGGGTGCAAATTACGTACATGGATAGAAACAAGCAGAAGCAAGTTTCTACAAATTACAGCGGCTCATGTTTCAGTCATGCAGCCAGCCTCCTACAGGGCGACTATGGTTGAACAGGATATACAACAGGCACGCAACAAAGGATGCAATGGAATCCTAAAGTGAGGCCGTGTGTTAAGCAATCCCCTGAAAGCCGGCCTGACAAAGTGGACAAGGTGGTAACATGAGACTGAACCTACAACAGGATTAGCTGTCCTTGTTGTGTACATACCAACAAGCCAATGAGAGACACACTGCAATGATTAAGTCTGGACACGATGTACGGTCTAACTGAAAGTCTGGCTGTGTAGAGTCTGGGGAATTGGCAGTGCTCACATTTGGAGCAGTTCCTCTCTCGTGTTTTGGCACTGTCTCTGGACAAACTCCTCAAACTCAGATGGCAGGAGGGGGAGGCTTTTGGAGAAAAGGTCCTCCAGTCGAACAAATCTCAAGGATGATAATCTGAAACAAGAATCATTTTGACTTTTTATCCATTTTATTTCTTTGCACATTTTATTTAATTATAATTAAATACATGATTTGTACCCAAAGACACACATATTAAAGGAATCACATCAACAACAATTCAGAAAAAAACTTGAATTCTAAGTAGAATTAGTAGTAAGAAGTAGTAATTATCAATTTTTATACTGTTTATATTTAATATAATGTTTTTTATTTAATTTTTATTTAATTGAACACACTGATGATGCTTCTGTAACAAAATAATTTCCCAAATTGGAATCAATAAAGTGTCTGTCTGTCTGTCTGTCTGTCCTTCCATCCATTCGTCTATCTGTCCATCCATCTATCTATGTATCTAGACAAGAGTTAATCTCAAGGCAAGTTAACAAATATATAATAGAAACAATAAAACCTAAAATAAAAAAAAGCTGAAGTTCTGAAATAAAAGCAAAAGAGAATGAACGATGAACAATATGATACATATGAATTCAACAGAACAACAAATCTTACCTAAATAAAGGTGTTTCCACATTACTGGAACATAAAGACTGTTACCTGTTAAGCCAGACATCCTGCAGCAGGACCATCATTTGACTGACAGTAAACAGATGTTGGCTTTGCCACATGTGGGTTTCCTTGTAGCTAGCTGCCCAGGGCACCGGGGGACGGATCACTCTCCTGGGAAAGGGCTTAGGGATGCTGGATATAGACAGTCTCTGCAGCTCAGATGGGTCCATCAAAATGTAGTCCACTGAGAAGGAACAACATGGAGGACAAATGAGATTAGACTGATTGACAGAATGTAATTCACCTTAGACAAAATATTGATTAACTAAAGCTCCAACTAGAGGGACTAGTTCTTCAAAGCTATATGGTCGTATATGAGAAAGAATAGTACTTTTTTGTAATCATGACGCAAGACAATGTTTGAATATAGCAGTGGACAAAACAAAAGTAGAAGTTAGAATTATGTTGTCCAAATGTCAATAAAAACAATCTTAAAGTTATACTGGGGAATGCTTAGAAAGTCTAAATAAAGCAATATCACCATTAAAGTTTCATCGCCACTTTATTGTTTTTTTACCTATGCTCTCCTTGAGGCTGAAGTAATAATCTCTTTTGACCTCTTCTTCCAAGTTTGCCCTCATAATCTGGAGGTGTTTACTGCAATCCTCAGTCTCTGGAGGCAGCAGGCGCAGGATGCTCATCATCTGCTGCCGTGGCATAGGGGCCAGCACAGAGCTCGGGACACCAGTGGTGATGTAGTACATATACCTCTGTGTGAGCAAAATGTATTGAAATGTATCAGTAAAGCAAGAGTCAAAAGATTCTAATCAGGGAGTCACATGTTCATTTATGTTTTCCTTGCTACTTGCTTTCAGGTCTTTCTCATTAGGGTCTGTCTGTATGGCCTTCCTCTTCTCCTCTTGGCTGTTCATGATGTCCAGCTGCTCTTTAGGGCTCATGGGCCGGCTGCGGGGAGTACGAACATGCCTCGATCGAGACTTTGGCCGAGGCGAGAGTGAGGCATGAGGAGATGTATCCCTGTGAAAGCATGAACAAATCAGATCAAGGGTTTAAAAGAACATCTTAAAAGATAAACTGTATTTAGAGTTGCTTTAAAAAGCATAATAACCTTCTTCTTGGTGTTATTGCTAGTCTCTTTCCAGGTGGGGCACATGCTAGAAACCTCATTAAGATCAAAAAGCCATTTGTTTTAGAAAACAGTGTTCATCTTTTAAAATGTAATCAGATGACAAAGAATATGGCAGTTTTAGACAGTTGCAGATTAGTCACATAGACCGGTGTTTGATATGAGAAGAACATGAAAGGATACAAGGCCCCGCAGGTTTTCCCAAGGTCTGGCGGAAAGAGTGTCGTCGGTGCTGGAGTTTAATAATCTTTAAGTCCTGAGCCCGGGAACTGTAGTTATTTCCAATAGACTCACTGGGAGTACGATGGTAATGTTGCTCTTTAAAGGGAACTGCAAGTGTCCAAGAATTGGACTGGAGGATGGGTGGGTAATGACTGTGCTTTGAGACCAGCTGGGGAAGAAATAACAAAATGAATTTTAAAATTGTGTTTGTTAGCAAGGTTTAAAAAAACAGGTTTCTCTGAAGCATTTGTGTATATGGTAGTGATTGGTATTCTTACTTGGTACAATTCTGACGGTTCTGCATTGCAAGCCATGGGCAGAGGGGGGGGAACAGGGTATCCTCTGCTCTGACTCATATTGTAGATAGAGTCATCCTCCATCTGTGGTTAGGACACAAACAGTGAAGCTTGCAACACATAGGACCACTGGCACTTGTTTGACTTGTATTTGCACATTATAATAAACAAATAAATCCTATTTTTTTAATATATTTTAAATAAGCCTCGTTTATTACGTAGTGTTACAAGATGCAATCAAGTGCCTATTGAGACACTATTTCCCAGTTACAGTACTTTACCTTATGTGACAAATATGCATTGTATTGTTCTTTTAAAGTGACTATAAATACTTACCATCTGCAGAATTCATACAAGTCAATACAGTTAATTTAAAAAACAGGCCATATATCAACAATGTTCAGAGAAGCTGCAATGTAAATCTAGCTGGACAGAGGCATAGCTGGTATCATATAGGCCTCTATCTTACAATATATTATACATAAAAGTAATTTCACAATGACAATGTAGCCAACAGTTAAACTTGAGCTAGCAAGGCTAACGTTACCTGTTTTAGTCGTTCCATCTTCTTCAACTTTTATGAGACTGAGAATGAAATACATTAAATATCAATGAATGAATGGAAAAAACATTTACATATTAACTCTTTATCGGTAACGTTAAAACCTATGAGTCTAAATGAAAGCAAAAGCTGCAAAACATGTTGTACCGTTAGTGTCAGTTAACTTTACCTTCATTCGTTATGTAGGCAGGATATCATTCATTGTTGCGCAGCATTAGCGCAAACGTTTTTGTAAAAATGTCCGTCAGCAGTCATAAGTATGAAGTATTAATCTACCACTTTTCTATTGCACAAATGACAGAGCTATTTGAGGTGTACGTGTTGCCCTGTCAATGTTTTGACTAAGAAAAGCCATCACGTTGCTGTAAACTGAAACACTGTTGATCTCCTCCGGGAAAGTCTCCATGGTAACATCAACTATCATAGAGCTGAGCTATGTGGTGGGCGGGGCCTCGGCGGCTGTTTCCTCTTGGTCGAACCAGGTGTGTTTTATTGTGTGTTTTATGGTCATAAACCAAACCACCACCACGACTATTTTATGATATTTCTGAATGTGTTTAAAACATGCAATGAAAGAAAACAATTGGCTGTGGGTTGGGTTAGTGGGTTGTCCTAATAATAATAATTACCTGGAACTGGAAGCATGCACCATGAAGCAGATACATTCCGCCCTCTGCTGGCAGTCACTCTGCAGAATGGGCTTTCAGATTAAGTATTGTGGTTGTCATTTCATTGTAATGGAAGATGAAGTGCAGAATAATTCCCAAAATCACCTTAGACTGCCTTTAACCTAATTTATTCTGTACTCAAAAGATTAAAACAAAATTGAATACAATGTAAAATCTCACAAATGTCAAATATATACTCAAATGCATTGATATGTTAATTTTCTTTGTCAGTTTCAAATTTAAATAAGTTTCCGAATACCATTAGTATGGTTTAAGTCAATAAATCCGAGCCACCATAATGTTATGCCATAAGAATAAAAAAATGCATATCATCATATGCATAACACAGTCCTGAGCTGCCTTTCTTAAAATGATATTCAGGTTCCCAGTTTTGCTTACAGATGATTTTCACCTCTTCTATGTGGCATACTGTTGACTTTTAATCCTCCCCTAAATAAATGTAATGTGAGTTTTTGTTTACAGGTCAAGTTTCATGGTTGCAAAAACTACATTTTAAAATTATTTACATTACAGTTCCATGCTACATTTAGGCCAAAGCCAAGTCCCCCACGAAAATGTTTAAGTGCAGGATAATAGTCTAAAAATACTTGTTAAATTACAGCTTCTGTAAAGATAATAATGTCAGAGTTACCGGCTAACTAGTTAACATTGAACTTTATATAGCTTACTTGTTATCTTAAACGTCATAGGATGTTAGAGATCGGACGGTCATGTGGGGTGGACGAGGCGTGGTTTCTGCTGAAGTGAGGCGGTCTTCGTCGTCGGGCAGAGGAATCGTCGCTACAGAAGCTTTCTAGGTCGTGTGTCTGGCTAATTTACTAGTTTTAATCCTTTTAAATATGGTGAGTTTCAGCTATAATTGTATCTGCAAATCAATGCTAAAATTCTAGCCATACAATTGACAAACGTTTTTTAAGTGAATGCATGCGTCAACATGCTAGCTAACTACGGGCTAAAACAAGTGTTGGCACGTGAGCTAGCACGTAATGAGCTAGTTAGCCAGCTAGCTCATTAGCGCCCTTCGCCTTGAGAAAAAGGCGGACTAGCTGCTAGTAGCTTACATTAGCTCAGCTAACACAGTTAAGCTAGCAACGTTAAACTCTTATCGTGTACTTTTTTTGTCAATGCTATTTTCTTAACTTTCTTGCTGATCAATCGTTGGATAGGTCAATGTTTTGCTTATCGAAGATATTTAGATAATTAGCTATCATAATGTAATCTTCCACTATCATAATTCGACCACCATTCAGAATGTTGCATATCATTGTTAGCATAAACCAAAGATAACAGCTATCGGTTGACAAATTTGCATCCGACTAACATTGGTTATTACAGGCTGAAGGCATTTGTCGGTTTAACAAGTTATTTTGGTTTTCACTACCAATCTAAATTCCATAACTGACGTTTTTATTAAATCAACAGTTATCACGTGGACGTAGCGCAAGGAAGCTAACAAGCATGTTGTGCGATTTTCATGTCGCATAACTAAATAATTCAATCTTTGTTGCATTGTAAGGACAAGCCCAGGAGCAACACCCAGTCTCCATCCCTGAAGTTGTCAAATGGCTACGTTTTACCCGAGGGCAAGCTGACTCCCAACGCCCTGTTTGTCGGTGGGATTGACATGAAGGTAAAATCAGGTGCAGCCAGTTCAGTTAATACAACGTTTCCACCTTACATTACCAACAGTGGCTAACAAGCCGCCGTCAAGCATATATTTGTGTAAAATAGCTTCTCTATCCACTTCATATATAATTATTATTGTACATAAAAATGGCATTGCTTTACTATTTTACTTTCAGGTGGAGGAAAAGGAATTGCGAGAGTTCTTTGGAAGATATGGTGCTGTTAAGGAAGTAAAGATTATAACCTACCATGGAGGGGTCTGCAAAGGGTGAGTTTTGCTATATAGAGACCCTAATGTTTAAGGCACTTTATTTAGCTGACTTGCACAAATGTGAAGTTCTTAACATATAAGAACTTCTAAATGTACGGTTGTGAGGTATTTTTGCTAAGGGATTAAAAGAGACTATGTAAATGAACAACTGCAGTCCTGTGACATTCAGTGAGACATTCATGAATACTGCATTTGTATTAAGTCGTACATTTTCCTCCATAAAGAGTATTTTTTCCTGAATTTGTTTATCGACTTGTGTGAAAATGTGTGGGTGGAAATTGAAAGATTGTTGATTTGCATTTCAGTTTTATGAATATTCAATAGCTTATTTCACAATTGGCTTTGAGCTAGTTGCTTTTTCCATATTTTACGTTTGTATTGAGTCAATGTTTTTTCTTTTTCATTCTGAGTTGTTTTTAATCTTCCTAGGTACGGGTTTGTGTACTTCAATGAAGATGTGAACATTCAGACGATCATTGAGGTGAGTGGAATTCTTTCTGTGCATATATCACTTATTATTTATCAACTTCAACTGAAAGTAACATCTCTGTTAATGTATATTTCCCAATAGCAACCGATTAATTTTGGGGGCCGGAAACTCAAGCTGGGCCCTGCCATCATGAAAGAAAGGAGCGCCAGTATGTATTGTCATACACTTCAGAGATAATTAAACGGATGTTTGTTTGGCATTGAAAATATAAGATCTACATACTAAACATATGTTTCATCCATTTTCTCCATACAGGAACCATGCCACCCCGTCCGGTTGGCCCTGCTCCCTGGATGAACCTCCCTCAGTACGTCTACTGCACCTGCTGCTCATCCATGGGAGGGGGAATGCCTCAACCTTCACCCATCGTCAATGGTGGAAGCCCCTACAATCAGGTAATGCAGACAAACATAGCCAAGCTATCAAGAATCTAATTTCAGCAGAGACAGATGATATCATAAAAAACATGTTTTCACATCAAGTAACCGCACTTTGGGGCTTTAATAACGCTGTCAATCATACCAGTATTCTCTGTTACACTCTCTTTGTGGAAGATGGTTTATTATCTCAGCCAAAAATAAAGGTGCATTATGAATAGCAATTTATTATCTTAGTTTTCAATTTGCCAGAAAAAAATATAAAAACAGGGAGTTGGCAATTGCATAATTTATGATATTACTAATAATATTAAAGTTGGTGAATTATTCAGACAATACCACCTGTCATAAACACTAGCACTTACAAAGAATTCCTTGCAATAACACTAACATGAAAAACAGTTACTTATCCCTGTAGCTCTTCAGTTGGTTTAAAGATATTCAATAGGTATTTTAACATCTGCTTAACACTGTTTTCTATATTAACATACTTCTCTGTAATGTGGTTTATATGTTCCTCCTGGCTTTCTTTTCAGCCGTACTCCTACACCAACTATGGAGGGGCCATGTACCCACAGATGCCAATGAACTATGCACAGAACTCCTACACCTACCAGGTACACACACACACACACACACACCACACACACACACACACACACACACACACACACACACACACACACACTAATTAGTCAATAGTATCCCATGCAGGGTCCCCTAGGCACTGCACATATGCTCCTGCATATGAGATGAAGGCTTCAGCGTGGCTTACATCCACCTGTCCCTGCCTACCCCACATACCCCCATCTCCAGTGTTCTGGGTTTGTCTGTTGCCCTCTGTTTAACCGCTGACCCCTCTCCCACCACACGCAGTACAATCCCCAGCACTGGATGATGGACCAGAGAACACCGCCTGACAATCAGGTGACTCCACATTTAGAGGCAATAAATAGAAGTTCAAATCAATTTGAGAACCTTGTGTGGCCAGTGGGAGGAACACATTGATGGAGTCTTTGATTGATGAACTCCATTGAATGTTTTATTTGTATATTACCTAATGTTTTTGTTTTCCAGCAGTGTTTGTGGCAGCACATTGTCCCCACACTGCAATGTTTGGGCAGGCCACTAGGTTGTGTTGTCTTGCCAGTGTTCACATCCTGAAATATGGACTGCATCAACGAGTTCTTAAAATAATACATTTCTAATGTTTGTTTTTTGAGAGCCTAGTTAATGGCAGGATGGCAGCTTTCATGTCTTTGAGATTGTACACACATAAATATGTTGTTAATGTCTGTTCTTTAGGGCTTTGTGGACAATGGAGTCCAGACTATGATGACTGTGCTGTAGTCTGAGCTACTGAGCCCCCTGCCAGGTAAATAAACACTATTTCCTAGAGATTTCTAAGAGTTGTCATAACCGGGAAACAGTAGGTAACAATGCGCCATGGAGGGCCAAGCTTCTGCTATCATTTTTATCTGAGTGGACATTAATAAATGGCTTAAGTGTGTTAGTTGCAAAGATAAACCATCATACTGTCAGCCTTGTAACATACATGGTGTCCTATTTGTGTTTAACTGCTTCATCATCTTCATGTTCTGCTTGGCAATTAGTCCATTAATGTTCCGTCCTCGATGTCCCCTTTCATTCTTTAATTCACACATTTGGTTAATGGTTTTTATCTGACCAACACGGCTAATCTTGAGTTGGTATGTAATTGAAGGAGGAACCATTCTTGACTTGTGATGTCTGTCTTCTGCTCCCTTAGACTACGCAGCTTTGGCCACAGTGAGACAAAATGCAGACAGGATGACATCTTGATGTTCCGGACGGCTGGAAGCAATCGAATGCCTCACGGTTTTTCTTATAACCCTCCTCCCTTCTCTCAATGTATGAGACCCATTTTAACACCACACTGTAGGAGCTCTCCACTGTAACTATTCTTGTTTGATCACAATCATTTTAATCACACGGTATGGACCTCTGTCGTGTGGTCAAACTGCGTTTAACACACACGGATCACAGTGACAGTCGCACAGGAAGAAGCACCTCCACCATATAAATGGGCTCACATTCTTCTTCCTTTTTGTTTTCTTTTGTCGGTTAACCCAAAGGAAAAAAACATTGAAAATACTTTTAAGCTCACCCTTTGTGACTATTTATATTTTATTTTTTTCTCTGTACATAAACAGTAAGTTTATAGATGTAGAAATGTCTTGACAGGTTTCAGCTTTGGAGTAGAATGCTACTTTCAATCCAGTTCAAGTCTAATGCTTCTAAATTAAGAAATGTAATGTTAACTGCAGTATAAGGGCACTTGGTCAATTATTTCAAGCACTCACATTTTGTTTTGTTTAGTTTGTGCTCTATTCCGTTTAAATGTCGGATTGAGGCAATACCTGAACAGCAATTTAGATTATAGTTCCTAATCAGTATCACTGATTTTGTGTCTTGGTCAAACGGCAGACTTTTCAAGTTGATTATCACAGAGCATGGTTCGACACCCTGATCATCCGTGTCGCATTTCTCAACCATCCCATCCTCAAATGGTTCCTGACGTTCACACTCAAGGACAATCACGGCATCAATTTATTTTTCCCATTGCTTGTCAATCAACTTATATTTGGCAATATAAGTGGAGTGCGGTTTTAATCCACTCTGAAAATGAAGGACATGATTTAGAGTAAGGAGCTCTGTCTGATACAAAATATTCACTGTGCATAGTTCACTTTATACCGTTTCTATCTGGCTTTTAATGGCGTCGCAGATGATAAAGTATTTTACTGTAATGACTGATCAATGATTATTTTTATACATTTATTTTCCTTAAACTATACACTAAAAGTGCAGCTTTGTATGGTGGTAGATGCACATTTGGTATTTGGTGCACATATTTTCTTTTCTAAGACCAAAGTTTTGTATGATCGTTATCCTCAGGGTCTCCTGTGTGCAGACATCTGATTGTGTTGTTGTTCGAAGAGCTTAGGCACTGCGCTGTTAAGTTTGGTTAAATGTTCATGTTCATGTTTGCAGAGTTTGGATGTTTTTGCTAAAAAAATTAAAGTATGTTATTTAAGCTTGTGGGTGTCTTTGGTTTCTTTGCATGATTTTGAACACTGGTCAGTATATTTTAGGAATATTGATTTGAGGTTTGGTGATGATGGAGCTTTCAGACACTCCCAGCTACAGTAAGCCTGTCAGTGGATGCTGCTTTCCCACATCCCTTGTCTTCCCTGGCAACAAGCCCATCATCTCTTGGTCACAGAGCATTTTGTTTTTGTCACAGTCTGGTGGTGCGACTGGGCTCCCCAGGGTGCCCTGTTCAGCCTGTGACCACACAACAGCCCCACCCTCCTACACCCCAGTCAGACGTTTGTGAATTATGGATAAGTCTGGATAGCTTATGAAATATGAATTCTCCAAAGCAGCCCATAACATTGATAGTAGACCCATAACCATGTGTGACCAAAAACTGTTATTTGACCCACGGTGAAAACTTGAAAAATCTCAATCCTTTTTTTAAGTAATATGCAACCACTGAGCTGGTTCATTTCAACCCACAATTTGATTCATACTGTTTCTCAAAGTGTTTCACAGTATCCTATCCAACCTGGAGAAGAGTGAGAAAGCACATTGAGGAGAGAGGAGGTGTGTGTCTGTGTGAAGCTGCCTCTCCTCCTCACACACACGCTGGTGACAGAGAGGGAGACGGTGTGTTTATCATGAGCCGCCCGTGAGATTCAGCAGCAGTCAGATGTATACTTTCCAAATGGAGGATTCATGTTCAGCTCACATTGGATCGCCAGCATCTGACCTGATGTGTGTCATTTCTTAGCAGCCGTGACGAGGACAGACATTAAAGAGAGGAGAGAGGGGCTCACATCGACACAAGTGAGGAGAGCTCTCAGTACAGAGAACACACCGAGCAGACTGGGGACCACTTGATAGGTGAGTACAACTCTTGATTGTTAATTTATATACATACAACATTTACTTATTAACATTGTTGACATTTATGAGTATTGGCAACGTGATTCACTGGAAGTAAATTCATATATTTTTGTCTTATCGAGCCATGTGCATTTTCTGGCTGTACAAAATGAGATTTACCAGCGGTTTAAGAACTTGAAACAGAGTTAATGACATGTACAGGCGGAAATACCCTATTAAAGTAAAGGTCAGGAGTCATCTTTTGAATCCTTTCACAATAAAACTCTTGTGACAGAGAGAAATCCTTTGAGTTTAGACGTTCAGCGGCTCGTTTGATTTGTGTGATGTTGTGTGCCATTTGTTATCCGTGGCGGAACGAAATGAATAAGCCCTCTGCTGCTGGCTGTCACAGGTTGAAGTGAACTCAAGATATGCGTGACGGAGTAAAAGTCTCGAGCGCAGATGGAAGAGGGGGCTGAAGTGTGCGTGTGTGTGGGCGCGCGCGCGAAAGATTTGGTGCGTAAGCAACCTGTCATGTATCATTTCCATTTCACTAAACTACCGGCGTTAACGGGCAGCATCAGCTAGCCACGTGTTGGGAGAGTGTGAGAGCGAGTGTGTGTGTGTGTGTGGGGGGGAGAGAGAGGTTGAAAACACCAAAGAGGGAAAACCAGAAACATGTAATTTCAAGCAAGGCTGCACGCACAAAATGCAGCGGGCATCAATTAGTTACATGGCTATGTATGGGTGCTCACCACCATATACTGTAGCTTGGAAATCTATTAGGAAGCACGATACAAAGAAATGTCTAAACATATAAATTATGGATTTATGGAGGTGGAAGAAGTACTCATATCTTATAGTTAAGTAAAAGTAAAAGTCCTGCATTCAAAATGTGAATCAAGTAAAAGTACATAAAGCATCAAAATGTACTTTAAGTACCAAAAGTACTCATTATGCAGATTGGCATATAATATATATGTGCTGGTTATCGATGCATTAACGTGTTGTTTAAGCTGGTAAAGGTGCAGCTAATTTAGTTGTTGTGTACTGCAGGTTAGCTTGTGAATGTTACTCCAGGTGTAACTAAAGTCCTATTATGTATGGTTTATATTTCATATCATTAATTCAAATTTGCAAAGTAACTAAAGATATCACAGAAATAAGGTGGGGTAAAAGTTCAATATTTACCTGTGATTTGTAATGGGGTGGAAGTACAAAGTAACAAATGGAAATACTCAAGTTCAGTACAAGTCTGTCAAAATTGTACTTAAGTAAAGTACTTAGTTACTTTACACTGCTGGATTTATGTCCAAGCGTAGCTCAGGGTTTAGTAAATTGATTCCCCGGTCCTAACAGCTTTCCTCTGTTAATAAACTGTTATTTTTTTGGACAAGAATAGGCTTTGCGACAACCAATACATCAATGTCATAATTTGTTTTTTATCCTCCCCATGCAGCCTCATTAAAACGCAGTTTGAGGTGACTACTTTGTTGCTTGCAGGAATCACACCTCCCTCCAGGCAACTTGACATGCTCCCAGTCTGCTCTCCGTCTGTCTTCCTCGCTATCTCTGTCTGTCTCCCCCTTTCTCCCTTCCTCCTTCTTCTGCTCTTGCTGTCACCCCCACTATCAGCAGCGTACCCCACCCCTAGATAGAAACTGAGTGGAGCTCCAACCCAGTGGGAGGGAAGCCCACTCCCCAGGACTCAGTCTGTCACCTCCCATTTAGAAATGCATTGAAAAACATCACATATAATACATTAAGGGTTTATTAACAATAATGCAACAGTTTTTATTGACTTACCTCTGTGTTTTTTGCTGGTAAACAATCACGCAGCTATAAAAGGGAACTTGATTCAGAGTCAAACTGCTGATAGACTATGAATTCCTTGCATAGACATTAGGCAGTGCACTCACAGGCAGTAGGAATTATGGCTTTCAAGCAGGCCCATAAATTCCTATAATAAAGGAGAATGGAAGCCAGTGAAGACAGTTTTATTTGGGGATGCTTGTTGTAAATCAGTTTTGAAAAATACTCAACACAACTGGAAACAGCTTTGTATTATATGCAGCAAAACACTTTTCTTTAGGTGGCATGAGGTAGTCGTGATCAACAGTTCTGCATTACATTTTGGTCTTTTTGAATAACAGCTCAATAAAGACTTAATTAGTAACATATGTAGAATCCTTGGCCTCTCTTCAACATTTAAGATAGAATATTTGTATGGATAAGAGACTCATCTGTTGTTGGTTCCCAGAGTCCACTAAATAAGATCAGGTACTAGAGCTTTCGGCTACCAAGCTCGGTTCCTCTGGAACCAACTTCCAGTGACGATTAGGGAGGCAGACAGTGTCCACACATTTAAGAGTATTGAAGACTTTCTTCTTTGGTACAGCGTACAGTTAAGACTGGTTTTAAACCCCCTTTTATACATCCTCATGGACCCTTCATTTTATGGAATTGTAATTATTGTACTCTAACTGTATTTGTGTCATTGTGTTATGTTCCTCTTTAAATTGGTATTTTCACATTGATCTTGTAAGATACGTTTGTTGTTTTTACATTGCGTTTACATTGTCAATTGTGTTTGTTGATTTGTGAAGCCTTCTGAGACAAATCAGGGTATTGGGCTATATAAATAAACTGTGTCTTGCAACTATACTGGTTTGGCTGAGATTCGACTACCAATGGGCATTTGTTTGCGAAAATCAGAGAAGGAATTATACACCTTTTTTGCTCTTTCCTTCACATCCGTAACATTTTGCTAAATGCCACACTGCTATGTGCATTGGCCTTTATTGTTAATGCTTGGGCAGATTTGTTAAAAAATTGGATTTATTCCAAACAATGTTTTTAGGGACATGTGTAAGCGCAGAGTGGCATTTGCTCTGCTAAGCCCATAGTTATTGGAATGCTTCAAAATGCATAATCACACTCATACTGTAACCACAGAAGAAATGGATGAGATGACGTTAAAAATATTGCATTTAGAGCTAGACCATTAAATCAGCCAGTGTGTTGGTCATATTATTGGTGTACTGCAGATAAATCAGTATTGGTGTACATCAGGGTTTCCGCTAGGATTTTTTTCTCGCCGGTCAAATGTCCGGGCAGAATTTATTTTACCGGACACATTTGAAAATTACCGGTCATATTTCAATAATAATAATAAGAGTTGTGTAGCAGAGTTTCCGTTAGCAGGTAATTACCGGACTATGAGCAGATATGCTTCAGTTTAAAACTCAGTTCACGGGGCTCATTTTTATATTGCTTCAGTTTATAATCGTAACAGATCGAAAAATTCAGATTCATTTTTCAATAAATTATTCCACAAACAACAAACAACATAATTATTACATTCAAACAAACTACTTGTAGTAGATAACGTACATTATTCAAAAGTTTACATTAACTTTGAATAATAACACGGGAGAAATGGACCCTCTCTTTTCCCTCTCCCTCCCTCTCTCTCCTGACAGCCCGTCAGTTTCTCATGCAGCTCCTGCAGCTCGCTAAACAGAGGCGGGGCTTCAGGTGATTATGCAGAGCTGCGTGTCTCGGTCTGACTCAGCAGCTGATCTGATCTCTCTCTCGCGTGTCTGGTTATACTTCACTCGCGTTTATGTCCATATCGATCAGATCCAGCTCTCCTGATCGGCCTTTATAGAGAGCACCGATCAAACTATTAAGAGTGAATATCGGCCGATAATGACCGGCGGCCGATCTATCGGAGCATCCCTAATTATTACCAGACATTTTGACCGGCAGATTTTGAATTTACCGGTTTTTAATAAATGTTACCAGCTAAAAACCGGTAATTACCGGCTAACGGAAACCCTGGTGTATATAGCGGCTTACAAATAACAAGAAATTGCAGAACAGAAACAACACATCTATGTTTGAAGTGATTTAGAAACTGTCATTATTGCTTACTTATTTCTTATCATAACTGTTCCTACCTGTAGCTAGTCAGCACAGTAGGGGATTATGATTAGTGAGCTTATATTTATATACTGTAATTGTTTGGGAGGAAGAAACCAACATGTGAATTGAAGAGGCTCCCTGATGGTTCTTTCTATTTACTGTTAATTTCCCCAAGCCTGTGTGCCCGTCTGTACAGTAGCTATACCTCTGCAGCGGATAAATGCTGTTTCTTGGAAAGCAGAATCCCCTCCCCCCCCCCCTTCTGAGTGGCACGGGAGGTAGCAGAGCAGTGGCATAGCACAGACGGATTATACTCTTGTGTAAATCTGCTGTCATTTCAAAACTCTCGGTTACAAGAGACTCTCTAATGAGAAGCCCTCTGCTACTCCGTGTCTATCTGCCTCTTCACTCCATTCTGTCGCTTTCACTTCTTTCATCTATCTGTCTCTCCCTGTCTCTCTGTGTTAAATGGAAGTTTTTTTGCTGTCAAGGCCTTTTTCTGTCTGTATGCTTGTGTGGAGAAGCGAGAGATTCTGTTTGAAGTCAACATGTAGAGAAAAAGGCCTCATATGTTGCGAAAAGGCCTCGAGTCTAGGGGGCGCTGGGAGTTTCTCCGGTGCAACAACCACTTTGGTTTTTCATTCCACGTTGTGTCCAATTACAGAGATCTGTTTCTAAATAGTGCAGACAGAGTTCATCTGTTAAAGCGAGGCCTTTTGTTTTGAAACTGAACCATCCGCGTACAATACAAAGGACAAAGACATGTAGGATATAACAGTAGGGCTGGAGGCTAGTCAAGACCAAGACTACAGAGCCAATCAGGTTTCATTTGAGAGCAATACATCCAACTGCCCTGAGCAAAATAGTAAGCAAGATATTCCAAATTGTTATGATTTGTTAGCACTGCACAATGCATTATGCATAAAGACATTTTTGAATATTGAGGTAATTTGCAATGGGGTAATAAATTGTATTAAGATGGGTGAGAAAGTCTCTCCCCACAGACATTTCTCTTACCCTATTTGCCGATCTTGACATTATCTTCCTCCCAATTGTCAAACAGCTACCATTATTATCATATTTTAACTACATTGTTCTTCTTTATCGTATGCTCCACCCTAACCTCATTTTTCCCAGCCACAGATTATGCCTGATAAACATTCCCACATTAACCTGCCTGTGTCCTTGTTGCAGACAGAGCGTATTAAAGCACAGCCCTGGAGGGGAAATGTGTAGCAGTGGATATACGCTCCAACTTATTCATGTACCAGGACCTACTTGACTGTCTGGCTGTCTGTCTGGAGACAGTGTAATAGTTTTATGGGACTTAAAAGGCTCAGCGGGGGAGCACTTTGGCTGTGAAAACTCATTTAGCCACCAGACAGAAGGACTGGACAGACGGAGGATGGCTGGAGAGGGTTTGAGGCCTGGGAGGGAGCGTGGAAGGACATAATGTAATATTATAATCAAAGATGTTTTATAAAAGAGACGCCACACTAAGAGTCAATTTCCTGTATCTTTGTCACATGGGCTTTACCACAACCGCGCCCCTTCAGGAGACTGGCTTCGGTCTGAGCCCATTAACTCCACTGGGAGAAGTGAACACAGATTATTACTGATTCCTTGGCCCCATAGTCACCAAAGTCAATATTGGCCCCATTGTTTACAAGCTGCGTGGCTTCCAAAGATTCTGACAATAAAATGGCTATTTTCAGACAGAAAGGTCTGGAGAAAACACTTTTTTTCTGATTTGTCTGTCCCAATAACACACACTCTCAAAATGGTTCATTGCGTTAGTATTAGTCAAACTGTGTCAAAACTTTAAGCTAACATCAACTAACATTCGCAAACGACCTAGCTAACCAATTATGGTAATGGTAACCACATTTTAGCTCCATATCTAATGCTAGCAAAATAAGATATAAGTACATTAGACCATGCCCATTTAGGGGACAGGAAGTTTATACCATTTCATACCATTGGCGCCAATTGTAAAGCGCTATCTTTTTTTAATCTTTGTTATAATGTATCTACAAGAAGAATTGAGGACAGTTGAAATGGATGGTTTGACAATTATGAATTGAATAGCAGAATCAAGAGAGTAGAGTTGAGGGAACGGGTCGAAGAGGCAATACTTGAGGGAAGCTAGGAAAACATAAGTGGACAGATTGAGTTAGATTAAAAGTCAGGGAAAACTGAAGATGAAACGGGTAAGGATTGGAGCTCTTGTAATCATTAGGAAAAAAAGGAAAGACATACATGATGAGTATACTGTCAGACTAATCAAGGCCATTGTACCAGGAGAAAGAATGGAGTTGTCCTAATCAAGGATGGCGGAGAGAAGCCCAGCAGAGGCCATAGAGAGAAAGAGGTGATTAAGGCATGGGTCAGACAGGAGCAGAGAATTGAGCGATGACACATTGAAGAGCTAATGCGAGTTTGAGAGAGGAGCACACATGTCAAGAGGAGAGAGAAGTGGTGGGAGGGAAGAATAAGATGAGATATACTGTTGCCTCTCTGTTTCTCCTCCTCTTTCCCAAGCTTCACCCCTTTGTCTCCATTGGTTTGTCCTCATTATGAAAGAGCATGTTGTATAGAAAGAATAATGGCTCCTAATTGCTTGTTTTTGCAAATTCTAAAATGACAGTGTACCATTTTAAGACAGATGAGGTATGAGAATGTCACGTAGATGCTGCCTTTTGCAACTTTGTAACCTTTTGGAAATGCACTTCCCATCAAAGTAAGTCACCAAAACGTACACACACAAACACACACTAACACACACCGGGCTTAATGTCGTCTGTCGGGATCGTTAGCCGAGTTAATGTCTGTGCACTTGGCCCAATGGGAGTGACTGTGTCATTCTCCATGCTCCCTAAACAGATACAGAGATGCAGATATAGACCTGCCTCTAGGGAAGACACACACACACACACACACATAGATATGCAGATGTGGACCTCACCGTGTGGCACTTACAAGTCGTGGCAGACGGGGATATTAAGCGTAACCGCGGTGATGGTTTGAGTTTTCCGACGCTGTCACATCCAATTAGCTTGATGATATTTGACCACGCCCTTTCTCCGCTTGTCCTTTACCCCTCTTTCTTGTCCTCTCTTCTCCCAACCTCCACCCATTTGTCGTTCATTCACTTCCACTTACCAATTGTCCCAAAAGCCTCACTTATTTTTGTTTTTCGTTTTTTCCCCCATCTTTTTTCTAAATTGCCTGTTGGAGAGGAGGAATTTAAAAAGGAAATTTGAGGCAATCTTCAAATTGTGTTTCCAATCTCCTACGCTTGAGGGTTTCTCCTGGTCCTTACAAAATCTGAAAGACTCTTACAATACCATAGATTTCTTTGTGCGACAAGGCTACTTGCATCAACATATAAATTGGTTAGCAGTAAAACATGTTTAACGTCTCTCCTCTCCTCCCCGTCTATCTAGTCACATGTCGCTTTGCTTGACAGGGCAGGAAATCGCTCTCATTTCTGCTTTAATTCATTCTGATCAAACATGTCGCTCCCAATCAGCCCCATTTGATTAAGAGATGCCCGTATCACAGCCCAGCAAGCAGGTAATGGCTGACACTTTCATAATTCAGCTTTACTGCAGCGTGTGAGTGTGAGGAAAAGAGATAGAGTTAGAAGCATACATTATTTCCCACAGCTTGAGTTCACACGTGAGAAAGCATTCCAACTTGTGACACACGCACACACACACACACACACACACACGCACGCACACGCACACACAGAGACACGCACACACTGGAAGTGCTAATATGTTTTGTATATTTAGAAACTCAATTTCTCCCTCTTGAGTCTTTGTTAGCACTTTCACTGTGTTTTTCTCTTTTCATCTCTCATCTTTTTTATTAACACTTATTTTTTCCTCTCATCACCTCTCCTTTCTTCCTTTCCTAAATCACAGAGATATGGGGTGTAGGCTTCCTAAGTTGCGGAAGGCAGAAGAGAGGCGAAGCCCGGGTAATATCTACTCCACCCTGCGAAGGCCTCAGGTGGAGACCAAAGTGGGCGTGGCATACACCTACCACTTCCTGGATTTTCTGCTGGGGAAAGAAGGTATGGATGAATCTGTCAATCATTCCTGTTTAACAGTTCTCCTGTGAGCACTAAACATTGTACATATCTCCATCTATGTGTTTTCCTTTGGCTTGGCTCCTCAGTGAGATGAGATATCCCTGTGACTTCCTGTCTCCCACACTTGCATTCTTGAAATAGTTATACAGTATGCTGCTTGTTTTCTCTATCAAAGACCAAAGATAATGATTGTGATTTAGAAATTCAAGCATTTTGTTCTTTTACCAGAAACTACTTGGGTAGAGATCTGTCAATCACAAGGTAGTCCCGCCCTTAATAGTATACTTTCCTCGCACAATGTACAAAATGAATATTATGCTCCTTTTAAGAAGAATTACAACCAGCAAACCAGAAAGTCATTATACATATGTGTAGTAAAGCAAGTTAGTAGAAGGACATTTTCTCATAGACTTCTATACAATAGGATCTTTTTTCACCCATTAGAATGAATGCAAGTTTAAGGATCTTTCCTATTTGCTTCACTTTTCACACCCTCAGGTTGACGCATTTACAGCATATATTCTGTTTTGTGTTAATTATCCCACAATGCAGTGCTTTTAGCTCCCAGGATGATGAGGTGATGATGATTCCTAAGTGTGTGAAATCACTTTAAAATGTGCTGTAGGGAACAGTGAATGAGAGAGTGATAGAGAAGGCGATTTCGGAAAAAAAATGGCTCAAATGAGAAGCACAAATCTTGGCCATCGGATTCAGCAGATAGTCTCCATTCAGATCAGTTTCACATTTGTCGAAGTTCCACTCTGGCGAAGGGAACATGCTCCAAGGAATTTGCTTCACATTTGGTCCTTATTCAACGGAGATGATTTGTATAAGTATGGTTGCCTATACTTCATTTTTCTGTTGAACCCTGCTCTGCGTCATCATCCTGAACCCTGCCTACAGTGTTTGTGTGTTCCACTCGTAAAATAGCCACAGTTGCTGTTCCAACTTTAACCACTTAAATGAAATGTTTAGGTCAGCAACTCTGCGGAACTGTGTGTTTTTTTATACTGTAAGTATCTGGAGGGCAAAAAGTGGCTTAAAAGCTGAAGTTGTGTCTTTGTGCGGCTCCTGTTGCAGAGTTCAAAGAGTTCTCTCTAATTCTCAGATTCAGCTATATTGTTCAGCAGCTGTAACCGTGCCCCCCAACTTCCCCCTGCCTCCCCCTCCCACGATGACAATACACTAAAGCTAATGTGTGTATTAACCACATTTGTGTGTCTAATAACGTGTGGGTTTGTTTGTGCTCATGGCGTCTTGAGAATGTTTGATGAGAATCCTCCAGAGGCATCTGGTTTCTAAAAATACTAATTCTGCCATTGTGTTGGTGTGGACTGCGAAGAGATGGAAGGGAAGGAATAGAGAGCCGAGGAGCAGAAACAGATAGTGTTAAAGCGGATAGATAAAAAAATAATCACCTTTTTTCCCCCCTTTTGGTTTAATACTGCTACAAGCCTGCTCTGTGCACTCCATCACCCTCCTCGCTGAAGCAGGTGCAAGTTGCTAATTGAAGTCGTTTTTTAGAGGAGTCTCCAATACAACACTGTAACAGACAGCAGGCAGAGTGCCACGGCCAAGTGGTAATGTGTCTGTTTGCCAGTCGGCTTCATTTCCAGCCAGCCCTATTATGTTTGGCAAATTGGTTAGGCTGTGGTCTTGGCTGAGGGAGATCTGGCAACTCCAAATGGTGGTGGTGACCAAAACAGACAATAGACATGAGGATTGCTAGTCTTTCTCTTTGCTAAAGGCAGGAGCAGCAGATACATTGTCAAATCGCACGGGCAGCAGATACAGAAAGACCACACACACACACACACTGCTCATACAGTCGATGCCAGTTCATTCACACTCACACAAAACACTTTATAGCACTTAGTCAACGGAGTTAGTGTTATCTTTCAACCAACAGGCAGGTCATTTATATGGTAAACTCACTGACGATACCTGAGCTGCTTAAGATGGGTATACTCTATTTTAGGATAAAAACAGCTACTGTGAATTGATTGTGTTTATGTGTGTGGTGGTGAGTGGGTGTATGCCTGCCTCTCTCTCCCTCTCCCTCTCCTTCTCTCTCCCTCTCCCCTCTCTCTCTCTCTCTCTCTCTCTCTCTCTCTCTCTCTCTCTCTCTCTCTCTCTCTCTCTCTCTCTCTCTCTCTCTCTCTCTCCTGTTTCCCTCTCCATTTGTGATAGAGAAGTGAAGGATTCCTGAAGGATTATCTGATTGTTTGTGGAGATTGAGAGACCTCATTCCCAGCAAAGGGATTTATTTGTATGTGTGTGTGTGTGTGTGTGTGTGTGTGTGTGTGTGTGTATGTCGGTGTGTGTGTGTGTGTGTGTGTGTGTGTGTGTGTGTGTGTGTAGGAGGCAGATAGAGGAATCTGTATGTCGGTCTATGACATTGAGGAAACCCACGGTCAAATCCATGCTTTAATTCAATTTGGCTTCCATTAACTATATTATTTCCCTGCCAGCGTCACACAACGACTCCTACACAGTAATGAAAAACAAATATCTCAGCCGATGCCCTTCCGAGATACATTAGATAGATAGATAGAGAGAGAGAGAGAGATAGAGATAGATAGATAGATATATAGATAGATAGATAGATAGATAGATAGATAGATACTTTATTTATCCCAAATTGGGAAATTATTTTGTTACAGGACCAGTGTGCTCAACATTACAATACAAATGCTTAAAAAGTGGAAAAGAGTTAACAATTAAAGATAAAATTAAAATGAAAAATAGTATATCAAATATAAACAATATACACAATTCTGGATAATTAAAATGTTCTTTAAAAAAAGGTCAAAAATACCGCAGTAGCAGACTTTAGGTGGATATTTATTTTCCCATTTTTAATGTGGAAAATAAAGAGTGCGGTTTGTAACTTGACCTCTGACTGGCGAGCGATTAAAACTCGGCCGAAACAGTGTAGCTGATAATATAGAGTCAGCCTTTGTTTTATGAGCTTTGCTCTTACTGCCGGAGTGCTTTAGCTGAAAAATATGTCTGTCAGTGACTCAGCCCAACTTGCTCTCACTGGGTCAGAGCGACCCTGCGGTGAAGACATGCAGGGAGGATGAGGGAAGATGTTCGGCCTGCGCTTCACACATGGACCATTTATTTGGTTTTCTCTTACTCTACAATCGCCAATCTACTGCACCTTGACACCCACTTTTACAATAGGTGCCATGATTGTCATTACTCCCTTTTTAACATTGATTGCTCATCTTGATTTGCCGTCATGAATGTTGAGTATGAAAAGCAACAGCCAGGTGTGACTCTTTAACCCTCCTTTGTGTCGAAGCTGTGCTCGGATAATGAGCAAATCAGAATGTAGAAAGCGGAACAGGAAAAAGGAGGAAGGGACGCAGGACAAAGGTGGTGTTACCGAGAACAGAGGGTGAGATAAGGGATGGCGCATAAAAACGGGAGAGATACCAGCGAGGTCTGGAGTGCCTCGAGAGTGAGGAGAGGTGTGAGAAGAACGAGAGTCAAGAATCTTGAAGATGTGTGAGGAAGTATTTGAGGTGTGATGCTGCGTGACTAACGCCGGTTTATGTAGCAGACAGTGAGGAGCTGAACTCTGCTGATGACTTTCTGCCGCCCTGCGGAGAGGGAGACCCACTCGGCTCATTAAAACTTGCAACATGTGGCTAATGCTCAGCAGTGTGTGTGTGTGTGGGCGGGTGTTTGCGTGGCTTCTTGCTACTGTATACCTGTGGGGTACTTTATTTTGTCTGGAGGTATATGTACGTGTTGCTGTGTGCGTGATCCACACCTGAATGCTCTGATACATATTTCCTCTGCTGTCAAAGACTGATGTATGTTCGCTCTGCCTTATGCGGTACATCTTTGCTATCAGAATGCCTGTGTGATGTATTTGGTTTGGAGAGCAGGAAACGTGCAAATCCATCAGTTTGCGAAATCTTTGCTGCCTGACACACTTTTCCAGGCTTTTTTTTCTGAAAGATTGTTGATCTGACTTTAAATCATTTCCCTGCATTTGAACAGTTTCAGTCAAAGATGGCTGAGAGATTCACAGCATCACACGTACATGATAATATATGCGCCTTAAGTGCCACGCTGTGTTCTCACCAAAGCAAACCTGCTTTTTTCCTCCTGCTTCTACTGTACTTGTCCAACATTTGAGTCAGGCGTTTTCTGTAAAGCGGCCTTCTGAAGAGATCAGCCCCCCCATTTTGACAACGTTTAGATGCTGACCAACAGCTCTCCTAGTCTGTGGCTGCATTCCCAAAAACAGTAGGGAGCTCCTGGTTACAGGAAGCTGATTATTTTATAGTCACTGTTTTGGCACATATCCTAGCCTAAAACCTCTGCAAGTCATTAGAAGGCTATTTAAATAAACGTGAACCTCCAGCAAGCAGAGGGATAAGCCTTGAGGGTAGCTGCGAGTAGTAATCCCCATGCATCACCTAGCAGGCTTAGTGCGAACTCTTTCTTTCCATTCACACACGCACATAGGCAAAGATGGTCCATACACACTCGCTGAGATACTGGGGCACACAACACCACTGGATATATGTTTGCTTTAAAGTCATACACTGAAACTCAGGGATTTTGTGCAAGGAATTAATAAGACCTTTCAAGTAGCAGCAGGGGGGATGACTCTCTCACTCCAAATGCAGATTGTGATGTCCAGGGTCAAAAAGTGAAGCGTCGCACACGACACATGGCGGCTGTTGTGTGGTCAAAGCTTCGGGTGGGGACTGAAATAGCTGAGCAGAGGGGATCAACAGCTGAACAGCCGCTCTGCAGCATCCTGAGTCCATTAAACAATGTCTGTATCTCCCTTTTAAACATGCATGTATGGGTGGTGATGATATTAAAGTGTCTGGGGTTGATGAGAGAAGGCACTACATTTGAACTGTACTGATGTCACCCTAACATTACTTCTGTCGCAGTAAGACTCCATTATTTCTAGGGTTAGACATGTTGTCCCCTTTTTACCTCAGAGGAGTGTGCACATTTGAGTTTTATTCACTTTTCAGTTAATCAAATTCAATAAAACTCAACAATGGTATATACTGTCGTTTTTTGTGTTGATTTTAACCACAGTAATGGGATTTTTTCCCTTTTTGAGCGATTAAAAAGGGCTTAAAAATCAAATTAAACATACAATAAGCTGATACCATGCTCTATGATCTGTATATCCTCGTACCTCTCTTCCCTGACCCTCAAACTCACACAAACACTCCATCACACATCTCCAGGTTACTCTCCAGATGCATGCACACTCTTTTATGCACGTCTACACCCCCCCCTGCCCTCACTTGCTGGCACTATAAAACTCCACCCGGCTTTTCTGCCCTGAGCCGTTCCCATTCTGGAGCGGAATTGCAGCCTCCCCTCTAAATCCCACAGTGGCAGACAGTATAAATGAAGTTTGTTTCCCAGCCTCCAGCGCTGAATAACACCCTCATAACTTCTGTTTGCGTTGCCTGAATTAGCTGCGATGCCTTGCCCGCGTCTCGTCGGTGGGTGAGTGCCAGCCGCGCAGGGCTAATGACGGCTAATGACTGTTTACGGTGACAGGATCGTTGTTATCCGCCCGCCACCCTCACCCCAGTCTCCAGCTGTTATTATTGTTATCATCATCACTATACTGCTTTTGATAAGTCCCCACACACCCGCTTAAGTGTTTGCTTGATGAAAGGCCCTCATGGTTCCAAGCAGTTATGCCAAGTGTGATGTGATGGATTTTCTCAGGGAGTTTTGTCTCCCATTGTTTAACTGAGATAGAAGTCAGGAGCGTGTGTGTTCTTGTGTCCTCGCATGCTGGCCAGCCTCTCATATGTGTGTGTGAACAGGCCTCATGATGGAGAACAAATTGAAAATGAGATGGCTTGCACATCCTTTTTTTTTCTCCCTCTGTGTGTGTTTTGTGTTTTGTGTGGGTCTAGTTAATTTATTCAGGTTATTTTCTCTTCTCCAGACCCATGCAAATGAGATTGAATGGGAAAGGATGACAAGCATTCAGGCACAAACAGACAGCCTCATCTCTCTCTCTCTCTCCATCACGACTCTGCTAACTGCTTTCTCCTTTTCTGTGTCACCCTTTTCTTCACTTCTCTCATCTCATTTTCCACGCTCCTCTCTCTCCCTCTAACACACACCTGGCTTCACTCAGCGATACAGAAACACACAGCAACACATGCACGTGTTCCCTTTCAAAGCCAGTGAACAGAGAGGGAGCTTAACTACAATGCACTGACCCTGAGAGGGTGGTTCTAGCAAACAGCGCGCTCTCCCTCGAGGATTTTGCCGTGACAGTTTACTCCCAAACGATAAGCTCTGCTTCCCATGTTCCACTGAAGTAAAGGGGGTTTCTCTCCATTGTGTTTGGTAATAAGAGAACCAGCTCTGTGTTAGCGATGGCTGCTAATACCTCACTGTGATAGCATTGCCATCCTTTTGATGTATGTGCCTTTTTCAAATATATTCCACCGCCTGTTTGTGTAGGTGTAAATGTGTTCAAAAGAGCATTTTCCAGTATGAGAAATTGCATTTTTGTCGTTGCACATTTGCCTCCATGTGTTTGTTTCCCAATAAACAGGCTGTTGGTGACAGTGGAGACAAAGGCTAATAGTTCTGGTGTAATTAGTTTCAGATTTAGCGTGAAGATGCCATGTGTTGTTCTTCTGGGGGAATTATCATAATGAAACATGCCCTGTCTCTGTTTATTTACACCCTTTGTCCTCTCCTTTTTTCCTTCCCTTTTTCCTCTTTGTTCCAGCGCTTCCTCTCTACCAATTTCCCCTCAGCCTCTTTTGTAACCTGTCATGTCCATTTCTTAACCATAAGCTTCTTTCTCCCCCCCCCCCTCTCCTCCCTCCAGAGGTGCCGGTGTCATCGGTGCTTTGTCTCTCCTCCGTCAGAGAGCTTCCTGTTCAGGTCAGGGAGCTCTACGCTCAGGGTTTTGTCCTGGTCGCCGTCCACCCGTTTGTCCATCCCTGCGGACCTCGTAACGCACACATCCAGCGCCAGCTCCACCGAGCCGTGCTGGTCCGAGAGACGCCAAGGTACACACAAACTAAACACACACTGTTTTTCAGCATGAGGGCCACCTTTTTATAGATGGATTTCTGTCACAAATTGATTAAGATAGATGATTTACAGCCACTTTACACAACGGTAAGAACAGCTTTTGCAACTTCATTGTTTTGACAAGGAAGCCAATTGAGACCCATTACCATAAGCTCAATTCTGCGCCTCACCTCGTTCCCTTGATGTAAAATTAATTGCAGATGAGCCACAAAAACCGGCTAACTTTAGCTCCTTGTCCCAATTCTTTCTCTTTTGACTATACATGATAATATACTGTACTGTGCGTCTGTGTTTGGTTTACCCAGTTATTCTCTGGAGAAAACATCAATGTTCACGTCATATTTGAGCAGAGCATTATGTTCATACAGCCCTGCTATCAGCTCTAGTACAGCATGCAAGCTGAGCTTTATTCTCTGCATCACATCGTGGAAGTGAGTGACAGATTTGCTCAAAACTAAATCTATATTTGTGCGTGCAGAGTTTCTGTTGGTGGATTTGTGGCTATGTTTCAATTTGAGTCCAAAATTATGGATCTTTTTTCCTGCTAATGGCTTTGGCAATGGCAACGTCTTTGGATGGCAATTTTGGGACATTTTTTGGGTCCAGGCGTAATAATCTCAACAACTATTGGATGGATTTCCACATTCGTGTGTCCCTCAGGATGAATCCTAATTACTTTGGTGATCCCCTGACTTTTCATCTAGTGCCTCCAGGAGGTCAGAGTTTTCACTTATCCTGTGAACTATCTTGACATCTTCCAGATGGATTGTTACAAAATGTGCTACAGACATCCATTTTCCCCTCAGGATGAATTATAAAAAATTGAATGACCTTTTAAAACCTTTAACTTCTCTCATCTAGTGCCATCATCTGTTCAACATTTCAAATTGTCCGGTTAGGGTTAGGGTATATGACCCAATACATCTACTTAATGGCGCCAAACCTCAGCTTTACTTTTGATTTTAACGAAATAGCAAAGGTCAGTATACTAACATGCCAATATTAAAGGTGGGGTAGGTAAGTTTGAGAAACCGGCTCGAGATACACTTTTTGTTATATTCCATGGAATGCTCTTAACATCCCGATAGCAATGAATATCTTAAGTGCTCTGACAAAAAATCCATAAAAAAAGTCATCTGTGGAAGCTAAAAATAACTGGATGGCCTACCTGCCTGTCAGCCTTCCATCTGTGCACAAACTTATCTCGTGGCCTCATTGGTCATGTGCGCGTTCGTGTGTGTTGGAGGAGGGGCTCTGTAATGGGGGTTATTCCCTATCTTTATTCAAGAGCGTGGTATTTAAATTTGAGAGCATAATTTATGTATTTCTTTCCCTCAAACCCTGTCCTCACACTCAAATAGTGCCTGCTTGCGCTTAGATTTGCTCTGCTTCTGCTCAAACTGTACGCTTGCACTCAGATATATTGCTGCTTACAGAATCTGAGAGCAGACATTTCACGAGCGCACAGAAACAGCCCGAGTGCGAGGAGAAGGTTTCAAGCTGGAACACAGGAAAGCGTACCGTTTGAGCAGAAGCAGAGCAAATCTAAGTCCAAGCAGGCACTATTTGAGTGTGAGGGAAAGAAATACATAATCTGAACGTGAAATCAATAAAGTATGCTCTCAAATTTAAAGACCACGCTCTTGAATAAAGATAGGGAATAACCCCCATAAGGAAGTGGCAGATTTTTTTCCAGCTGTGTATTTTCAAATTCTAGCGCACTCGAGCTGGTTTCTCCAAAATTACCTACCCCATCTTTAAGTGGTAAAAACGATAAACATACCTATTTATGAGAGGGAATATAGATATTTGCAATTTATAGTATTTGGACCATATATTTATCGCTTGCTAGTAACATTTCTTTAAATAACTAACACAGATAATGTGCCATATAAATCATAGGGATCTTTAGTGTTTACATAGGAATTTATATAGAATTTCCTAAAACAGTGTCATTTCCGAAACATACCGTGTGAAAGTAATCTACATTACTTTAAATGATGCTGACTCTCTTTAACATATCAGATTACAAAAACTCAGTCTGTGGGTTTTCACAAAGAGGAACATAGTTACATATGTTGCGCTGCGAGGGGGACCCAAGTTCCCATCGGCGAAAACACGTGGGTTTGCTGTCCTGGCTCCAAGATGGTGGAATGAGCTCCCCATTGACATCAGGACGGCAGATAGCTTGCACATCTTCCGGCGCAAACTGAAAACTCATCTCTTTCGACTCCACTTCGAGCGTTAGAACGATTAACGAAGCACTTTTATACTAATAAAGGACTGGATTACCTAAAGCCAGTTGAGTAGCACTTGAAATGTTTGGCTCTATGAAACCTGATGTACTTATATGATTCTGTTTTCTTCAAGGTTGTGTCTTCCTGGTCGAATGTACTTATTGTAAGTCGCTTTGGATAAAAGCGTCAGCTAAATGCAATGTAATGTTCCCTCCATATGATATCAATTTATTTTCTTCGACTTCTTCGCAATTAAAGGAATTATTTAGCTAAGTATACAGTTTTTGGCACCCTCCTGTGTGCCTTTTATAATGTGAATCTAAGGAATAGCATATTGTAGACACACTCATTCACACACAAACACACACACACACTAGTGCACACACAGGTGCCGGGCTGCTCCTTTGATGCCCCTCCTGCCAAGTGGTCCTGCTGCTTCCTGGCACCTGTCACCGTGGAGACGGCTGATTGCATCATCAGCACTCGCCAGAGGGGAACGGTGCGCTGAAAGAGAGAAACCATCTCTCCATCCTTTCATCTGCTTCCTTTAGCGATGGCTGATCCCCCTTTTCTTTTGTCCTCCTCGCCCCCCTCTGTCGCCTTTTAACTCCGCCTTTTATCTCCCCATCACCGCCATCCCCTTTCATCAAAAACCCTAAAAATGAAAGGAAAAAAATCTGACAGAAGTACTGTTTCAAATCTAGCTGCGAGTGTCACTCACGCCTGAGAGCACACGATATTACCACGGCCTTCCCACTGACCTCAATCCAAATGTGAAGAGGCGTATCTGAATGCTGCTTTTATGATGGTCTCTTGCAGTGGGAGAAGAAGGAAATTCAGTCCCTTTTTCTATCTAATAAGTCTATTGTGATCATGGTGAATGTGTGCTCCCGTTTAATGGGAAATCAGCTTGTACCAGAATTGCCATTCTATTTCTCCTGTGATCATTCTGGGTCAATGAGTAGTCGTGAACATGTGTAGCTGAATCTCATGTAGTCTGTAGGTGGTGGAACTGCTCTGGTGATAATGGACAACCTGGAAATGTAATTTAATAACAGTACAAGGACACTTTTGGTTGATGGGAGCAGAGATGAAGGGAACTAATTACATATTAATGTTTTATACTGAATATTTGTTTAAATTCTCGAATTTTTCAACCTGTAGTTCAGAGAAGAGCCAACTGAGGTGGTCGAGACAGCGCCTGGAGACAGATGTGTGTGTGGCCAGTCACCAGGCTGCTGACCCAGAAGTCATCCAGAGCTATGTCAAGAGGGTGAGTTCATTATTTAGCATTCAATTAAGTCTTTTTACTGTAATTACTAGGGAAGGTCAAATAGGATGTTTGCGCAACATGGTATTAACGATGAGGTAAACAGGGTAAAGGGCCTAACATCGCCACAAATTACTTAGAGGAAAGGCCTTTTAGTGAAAGCAGGTTTCGGGCCATAAATGCTTCCTTTTTAAAAGAAAAAACTAGTTTAGATTCACTTTTGTATGTGAACATACTAGGGATGCTGTTTCCCTCAATAGGTATTCCAAAACCTCAACTATGGCTATACCATATTCTCTAACTGCAATTGGAACCTGTTTTATAGTTATATGAGGCCAAACATATCTGTGGCACTAAAAATAGTTGCTGGCTAATGTCCATTGAGTCATTTGGTCATTTGGTCATTTGGTCAAGACAAATTACTGTAGTTATAAAACATATAGGTAAGCAGAGAGACTTTATGAAGTCTGCTCCTCATCTCTGCCTGGGTCTAGTTTCCACTTGTTGTATAGTATAAGGTTGCAGGAATGTGTGAAGAACAGCCTCTCCTTGTAAACTGTTGTGAGTCTGACAATGTTCTTGGAGTACAATACTAAAGAAACAATGGTGAATAATTAGTATATACTTTGTGTGACTATATGAACAAAATAGAGGTTGGGTGCACACCCAGACATGGATTTGATGTACTGATGTTGCCATGTTTGCAGGAAAGTAAAAAAAAACATGTGGAAGAAAACAATCTGTTTACACCCCGGCTCCCCCTTGGATTTTCTCTGTATTTGTTTTCCTGTGTCTCTCATGTTGTTGCAACACTGCTGCTGTGACAGTGGAGAAACATTATGGGGCTCAAAGGGCTACAGGCAACTGTCTGTAATTGCCTGTCTGTGCCATATGGTAACCCTGTCTCTAACAAATAAATGGAGGAGGAAAAGAACAGTGATTTCCTTTCCTTCTCATTTTTTTTAAATAATGGATCCCCACTAGTTGCATCTCATGTGACAATGCTCCATATCGTGTAACTAGGGAACAGAAGGAGGACCTTTTATAATGAATGGAAGGTCACAGAGCTATGGTTTACTATAATGAGACGTAACCCTAAGATACCCCGCCAACCACAGCGTCATCACTGGCATTTATCAGCTGTAAAACTCACTTTTGGTCTCCATGCTCATGAATTCGCCAACGGTCCCACAATGGGAAATGAAAATGTGCTCTATTGAATAGATTTGCATCTGAACACCCATAGAGCACAAAGGGAAACCTGATTGGATGGAAATGCACATCACTGAATATAATGTGATAGGCTCCGGCAGCGCGACATGAATAACCAATCGGATCACAAGCTGCCAGAGAGAGTTCGAGATAAGAGACCAGGAGCGGCACCGGGCAGGCAGAGTGACAGGCTGGTGTGTGTGTGTGTGTGTGTGTGTGTGTGTGTGTGTGTGTGTGTGTGTGTTGTGTGTGTGTGTGTGTGTGTGTGTGTGTGTGTGTGTGTGTGTGTGTTGTGTGTGTGTGTGTGTGTGTGTGTGTGTGTGTGTGTGTTGTGTGTGTGTGTGTGTGTGTGTGTGTGTGGTGTGTGTGTGTGTGTGTGTGTGTGTGTGTGGTGTGTGTGTGTGTGTGTGTGTGTGTGTGTGTGTGTGTGTGTGTGTGTGTGTGTGTGTGTGTGTATGTGTGTGTGTGTGTGTGTGTGTGTGTGTGTGTGTGTGTGTGTGTGTGTGTGTGTGTGTGTGTGTGTGTGTGTGTGTGTGTGTGTGTGTGTGTGTGTGTGTGTGTGTGTGTGTGTGTGTGTGTGTGTGTGTGCTGTGTGTGTGTGTGTGTGTGTGTGTGTGTGTGTGTGTGTGTGTGTGTGTGTGTGTGTGTGTGTGTGTGTGTGTGTTCAGTTTTGAAATTCTATACTTCAATTTCTCAAGCCCTCGCCATCCCACCCACTCTCAATCTGTCTCGGGACGTACTCATCAGATAAAAACTGTGTGACTTTGTGTAATTGCGAGGGTGTCGGCTGGTAATGGAGAGACTGTTAATATATGTGATTGCGTGAGTATGAATGAGTGAAGTGTCAAGAGCAGTGGGGTAATGGGGGAAGATGTGTTTCGTTATTGTTTGGTAGTAGTTAGCATTTTGATTTCTCTCCCGTCGAGCCTGTCTAAAACTGTCAACTCAAATATCAACTGACAATTAACCACCAGTGCTACATGGGAGGGAGCGGCACACACACACACACAACCCCCCCCCCCCCACACACACACACAGGCAAAGTACGCGTACACACACGGATGCGTTGAGATAATGAGGTCCCTTTGTCATTTGAATATTTGATCTTTGCAGATGATTAGCTAGGTTGTTATTCAGCTGAATATCTACTCTGCGTACGTCAGCCTTTGTTTGTGTGTAAATGAGGCTTTGTTTGTCTGACGATAGAAGAAGAGACAGAGAGCATGTATTTGTGCTGCTTTGAAAGATGCCTTTTTATTTAATCGTTTATTTGGCAGGGACAATGCACAGTAATGAACACTTGAAACATTCAAATGTGTCAAGCGTAACAGTGCCAGATTTAGCTTTGAGCTCATTTCCATCCGCAGTCCCTCACATAAAACATTTAAGAAGTTTACGTTTTACAAACATAGCAAAAACAAAAGGTGCAAAAGAGCAAGAGCAGCATACACAAGTATTTTTATATTTCCACATCTCTAAATGTATTCTAATGTGAGTTAATGTTGTGGTTATGCTAAACCCCTTACAGATCCAGGATGTAGCGGAGCAGGGGGTGATGTTTGTGGGCTTCCTCCAGCAGCCAGGCGGAGGACCCTGCTACTCAGGGAACTGGGACCCTGAGGATCTGTCCTCCTTACATTCAAGCCCCTCACCTATTCACCGACATCCCTTCAGCGCCAAAAACAGCCCAACAGATCCAACAGAACCACATCATAATGAGCCCGGGTTAGATCATGAAGGTGTAGAAAATCACAAACAGGACGACGAGACAAGAGACGTCATTCCTCTGAAACCCATCCAGAGTTTAGAGCTCGACCAAGAGGAGGCCAGTGAGCAAATCTTCAACGAGTCACTAGAATCAAGGAACCAGCATCTCAGCGGTGTGGACACAGTTCTTAAGCGTTCAAATCAGAACCCGGCAGAAGCCCAGGTGAAGCCGCTGTGTCCCAGCCCTCCAGAAGCTGCAGGTATAATCAGACAGCAGAGAGGCCGTCTAGCAGACCTCCAAGAGTCCACAGAGACACATTTGGATCTTTCCAATCAGACAGACAGACAGAGCTCGAGCTCCTGCAGCTGGCCCAGCTCTCCTGAGCTGGATCGAGGCACGGAGAGAAAGTCCTCCTGCACAGAGGGGCAGAGCAAAGTGACGACGCACAACAACAACCATATCCGGATCAAGGGTTCAGAGAAAGATGAGAATGCAGCTACACCGCCAGCGAAGGGTAGTAAGTTATCAGCTTCCTGTTTGCAGTGAGGGAATGTCACTAAATCAGAATCAGAATACCTTTATTAGTCCCACAGAGGGGACATTTGCATTTGTTACAGCAGAAAAAAGCCCAAAACAGCTTAATATCACCCAAGAGCATGCATTAAGAGTAAATGTACTCAAACACTTTTTGCATATATAATATTTCTATTTTAGGCCCCTTTTGAATGATATTCCACTTAATCTCAGCTGCACATAATGATACTTTTTACTCCACTACAATGATGTGATCATTTATATAACTTAGTAGATTTAGAATTATTACACATTTTGAAATCAACTGATGAATAATGAAGGATTATTATTGGTGAGCTCGACCATCACCAGTTTCAATGTAAAAGTGATAAACACATAAATAAATATGTATTCTGAAATTGTAAATCCTGCAGTGCACAATGAGTACTTTAACTTTTCAGAGTGTAACAGAGTATTTCTACACTGCAGTAATACTATTTTAGATCTTAGTACTTCTGCCACCACTACCTGTTTCTACTGGGGTTATTGAATAAAAAAGCCTCATTATGCAGAGTTCATTTTGGCTTTGTGTTTGTGTGCCTGTAGGGATGCAGCTCTTCGCCTTGTACAACCACACGGAGGAGCTGAACACTTCTCTGAGGTTCTACTCTCTCAGGGTGCCGCTGCAGGTGCAGAAGGAAGCAGGGCTGATCACAGATGTCGACACAAACTGGCTCGACCACATGACTCAGCATTTCACCAGCGGGGCGCACCTCATCGATGGGTTCTTCCAACTTGAAGACAATAACGGTATGGTTTGTGGCCATAGCAATTAACTACTGCATATGTCGTCCTTTTTGAAGGGCTGTCACTCTAGAGTCACACATGTAGAGCATGAAACATCGAATCAGCAAATGTACCATTAAGTACTCAACTTTAATCTTTAATAGCACTTGATGGAATCTTGGTCATTGGTCTAATTCCCCCTCAAAAACTGCTGAAAACAACGTTGATGAGAACAGACAGAAGACTGAACCAAGACAGTAAAGCTGAGGGTCGTAATTCCAAAAAGGTACAAGCTTAAAGAAGCTACAAATCCTCCGGAAAGATAAGGTTACCTGCAGAGTTGGGTGACGATTACCTGTGGGTTCTCCAACACGGTGGACCAATAAGGCGGACACCACATGAATTAAGAATTGTAATGTTTTATTTCCATAGCCCAGGGAAGGAGCTGCTCTGTAGACAATGAATGAGAGGCTGATTTCAGTTTCCGCAGAGTTTTTTCTTTTTACCCAAAAGAGCCTTTTTCCATTGTAGTATTCCCGGTTCTAAAACTTGAATTGTCCCAATTTAATCAGCATATTCCCCTTGGTATTCTCAGTGCATAACATACAGTATTCCTTGATGTATTATGGAGTCTATGGAGCAGTTTCAGACTCTATATTTAATGACATCACATTTCAGTTTTAGCACATCTTGTTACGATTTGGGGGGGTAGTTCATGTTAAAGGGGACCTATCATGCAAAATGCACTTTTCTATGTCTTTTATACATCAAGATGTGTCCCCGGTGTGTCAGGGAACTCACACAGCGTCAAAAAATAAAACCCTCTCTTTTCCTCCGTACCCAAATCTCCAAAAAACGGGGCTACAACGGAGCTGATCCAGATTTGCATCCGATGTGACGTAATATCGGAAATGTAGGCTGGCTTTACGCCCACGGCCCTATCAGAAACATTGCTATCAGAAACAATGCCTGACTGTTTTGGACGTAATATGGTCGGTGTTGACATTAGCATCGCTAACACTCAGAGCTAACCTGTACTGGAGAGCATGTGTGTGAAGAAGCAGGAAATAAAAAGGAACTCACCTTGTGGTATAACCGGCAATAGAGAAATCCTTTGAGCTCCATACTGTTTCAGAAATAATCCTTGATAATCCATGATATGGCGTTTCATCACCGCAGTATCTGCCGGTAGAATCTCCTGCATGAGCTCAGCCCCCACCTTTTATTTTTTTTATCAATATGTTTTTTTCTTAAAGCTTTATACCCCAAATCAGCACTTTTGAAACAGGAAGTGAAATAGAGGGATATGAGGCATGGCTAGAATGGGTGATCTGTTTGGTATTCTGAGCAAAACACTTCAAAGACATGTTTTTTATATATTTGTATATATCTGAGACCTATGCTATTGCCTAAAAATAGCATGATAGGTGCACTTTAAAAATTGTTTTTGTTGGACTGTCTTAGTCTTAGATGGGTGTAGTTACTCTTAAACACATTCACTTGATCTTATCAAATAAACATATGGATGGTTGCAGCTCAAACGTAACTTTTTCACCACACCACCTCAACTTTCACAACATTGACAAGATTAAGGAGCAGCTCGGGCTGTAGCCTCCGCTCCACTGCAGGGTATGGATGATATCCATGGAGCGACGTGAGTTAAGTCCTCGACTTATGCCATAAGTCACTGTTCAGTCACCCATGGAATAAGTAGGCTTAAGCTAGAGGGAACAGGGGGATCAATAGTGAGAGATTGGAGAGTGGAGATGAGCTTGTAACTCCTGTCTGACTCACATACATCCTCCCCTCTTCATCTGACCCTGTCCCGTTTCTCCAGACAATGGCGTTTCATCAGTGGACAGTGTGTTCATCTTCCAGAGCTCCGCGGAGGACGCCACACACACCTCCTACGACGCCATCGTGGTGGAGCAGTGGACCGTTGTTGATGTGGGTCTTTTGAGTTTTTAATACTCTGTGCACTTTGAGGAATCCTTTGTGACTGAAGGCTTAGGCTGTTTTCTGTCAAACATTACTTGAAAGAGTGGAGATGAAGGAATGTAGCAAGTAAGCTTACGGCTGAGTTAAAATTGTGCGTGCGTGCGTGCGTGCGTGCGTGCGTGCGTGCGTGCGTGCAATGCCTTTTCCTCAGTGTTTTCTGTCTCTCATGTCCAGGGAGTTGTGGTGAAGACAGACTACATCCCCCTACTCCAGTCTCTGGCTCCCTATGGATGGAGGCTGATGTGTGTGTTACCCACACCCATTGTGAAGACCAACAGGTACAGAACCACACCCCAACGTACCCCTGGTGGAAAGTATTTACTCAAGTACTGTATTTAAGTACAATTTTGAAGCACTGGTACATTTAAGAGGTAAACATTGCAGTCTCTACTCCTCTACATTTATTTGACAGCTTAGAATTCTAGTCACTTTTAGGATCATGGATAATAATACACATTTGTTGAAGTTCAACACATTTTACGGCACGAAACCAGTGTTTTTCAAACCTTTGGGATTCAGACATCTTACACAAAGCAAAAAGTGTATTTGGGACACATTTCAGATTCAGAGTTACTCCATTAAATATGTATAGTTCCCTCTAAACATTTCAAGAAATGTTCAAAAGCTCCAACTTTTCACCAAAAAGAAAATACATAAGTCCAAAAAAGTTTTTCTTCTGTCCTCTCCCATTAAACATCTCAAGCATGCTGCTTACACATTTAGCTAATTACTTCATGTCATATATAATGCATCAGTTAGAGGAACCACATTTCTATTTTAGCTTTAACTATGTTGTGCTGCTACTACTTACAAACTAGGATTCTTACGTTTATGCTGTATATTTGCATTTACTGAAGGAAAGGATCTCTGAAAGATTCCACTTTAACAACCTTAAACACACCTGTCCTTTACTTTCTCTATATATTCACACAACTAAGGACTAATTAGTGCTTTGTTGATTTTACAGTCTTTTCTCTTATGTCTTAGACTCTGTCTGTCTGGTTGTTTTTGGGATTAGGCCTGTCAGCGTAGCTTAGATACACAGAACAGATGGTTAAAGATCTGACAAATAAAGATCATATGCTCGTCTCGACATGAAACCGCTTTTAATATCTGCCGCTGCTGCGAACAAAAGCGCTGTCGCTGACGTGCTGTTGTCTTGTAACCTGTCACTTTCCGAACAGCAGCGAACAGAATCTGGATTTCAAAAGCGACAGATTATAACAAAAACAGGTACAAGTAATAATAAAAGTGCTGTTTCTTTTCTTTCTGCAGTGACGGGAGTTTGTCGACCAAGCAAATCCTCTTCCTTCAGAGACCCGTTCTGCAGCGCAAGAGAAAAGACTTCAAGGTTTGTTCCCCATTGTCTTCCATCTCCGCCTCAAATCTGTCACTTGTGTCTGTTCTGCCTTTAGGATACAGGCTTTATGTCACAGAAGGTGCCATTACAAAGTTGTTACTAAATATGAGACATACAGCAAATAAAAACACTCAGTATAAATGTCTAATAATAGGCGAACTGTACTGGAAAGAGGCATCAATGAGAGAGGCTTTGTTGTGGTTTGGCAGGTGTCAAAACTCTCTCTGGTTTCAGATGCGCAACCTCAGGGGTCGCAGCAAGGCGAAGAAGAAAACTACTGGGGAAACGGAAGAGGAGAGGGAGAACATGTCCCCTCTGATGGAGACGGAGATGGACAGGTTGAGGAGGAACTCAAAGGAGGAGGAGGAAGAAGAAGAGGGGAGGAAGAGCAGGGGCAGCGTAAGGAGCGAAGGTGGAAAGGAGAGTGAAGAGGATACACACCATCAAAGGGGCTTCTGGTTCTTATCGGGGAGCAGAGCTTCTGTCGAGGAACAGGAAGAGGAAACCGACGTGGACGAGATCAAGCTGTCCGAGCTGGAGGAGTCGGTGAGATGGACAGATGTGTGCCGGAGAAGTGGCGGGGGGGTCAAGGAGGAGGGGAAGACAGAGGAGAGGATCAAGCAGCAGCTGTTTTCAGGCGTCTGTTGACACATTGGGCACAAAGCAGGCGAGGGGGGGGGGGGGGGAGCTGAAGCCTGTTTATAGGATCAAAAACAATGCCTTTTTAAAATAACTTTTTGTTCATCTGGAGTTTCTTTTTGTTCCCCTGACAACCCAGATGTAGTCATACTGTTCCTGGTCCTGATGTGCTGTTACCTGCACTGTTGAGAGTCTTTGAGGTTGTAGATCCCAGATTTGGGAAAGTGTTGTGCAGTTCTCTGCTTTGGGTCACTGTTGCTATTTGATGTGTTTGATTATATGAAATGAATCTGTGCAAGGCTGATAGAGAACCACCTCCAGTCCACGCCTTAATTCTCTTGTTGTATTTTAATACTTTTCTTGTAATAGGAACGTTAAAAAGGGAGTTTCACTGGGCTCGCTGTATTTTTATATATGGAGTATATAATTAAAGATAGAAACAAGAAAGGGACAAGTCGACAGAGTATGAAGTACACGGTTGGAGCACGACTGATACATCAAATGTAGCTTATTATAGATTTGGATCTATACCGGCCTAAGTAAATAACTACGAAATTGCAGACAGCTTTTAGGTAATTAAGACACTTTTTCTTCAAGACATACTGTAGTTTCATCAACAGTAAGTCTAAAATATTTCACTCAATGAAGTATCTTCACCACAACTTTATATTCAAATATCGACCAATTTCATAATTATCAGACTTTTATAATTCTCTGTATCGGCCGGACTCTTCTCCAAAATGTAAATGGTGTTTGGTCTAAACAATAATGTTTAGTGAGTTCAAAATAATTACAAAAACGTATGCTGTCACTGGAGGAATCTAGTTTGCTCTGGCCTGATTTTGGAATAACTATCTCTGAGCTTTCATCACCTCAATACAATGATGTTAAAAGCTTTTCTATGTATGGTGCTCACCACCTAAATATAAATCACATCTCTTATCTGAAGCTGTGATCTAATAGTTTACAGAACACAGTTTCTTCTTTAGAAAGCTGTTCCTATGAAGACTGATTAGTTGTTGGTCTGTTTATTTTCCAGAGTAACAGGGAAATTGCTTTCCAACTTTTTTAAATGCTGGAAGACAGACCATAAATGAGTTTACTTGATTAGACTACAAGATGAAAGGAAACAAGCCTTTTGTAATTCAGAAAAACTGACCTTTTCCTTCTTTGAAAAACGTGTAAATTAACAATCTATCACTATTTATTTCTTATTTCCTGGACCACCTGTGTCGTGTCTGAGTACATGTGAGTCTTTATATAAAAGTGGAGGTCAATAAAGTGTTTGAAAACAGATTGACTCAATTTCCTTTATTTCCTCTAAATCTCACGTTACCGGCATAAACTGTGTTCTTCCTACGAGGAAGAAAAGCAAAACACCACTCAAAAGGGCCTCTGCAGCGTAACCCCCACTGAGACGCCGACAAGAAGCTCTCTGAGGGATGTTCGGTGATCCAAGCCAATCAGAGACCACCTGGAGCTTCTATTACAGTGCACCATGGGAGACGCACTGCACCCTGGGACCAGAACCGTTTATGGCTATGTAGATGTGTGTGATTGAGTTACAATGTATGTGAGATTGGCACACTGTATGCATGTAAGGGTGTGTGATGGAGTAAAACATGCAGGGACACGTGCCAATACGTGGGAAATTGTTGCGTTTCTTGAAACACTAAAAATACACTGAAGTTAGCATGCGGGTAAAATGTGAAAAACAACGCTCCAATGCAGTCAAAGTCATCAGCCAAACAGCTCTGCAAATAAATAGCTCCGAGTTATATACACACCATAACACTGCTTAAACACATGATAAAATAGAGAGAGGTAAATCAGTCTTTCCAACACGTATGTAAAGTGTAAAATAACAGATTGCTTGCACTAACCCTCTTTACCATAGAGACTTTGAAGACATCTGTATGGGTATGTCGCTTATTTAATGAATTGCCAAGAGATATAAGATTGTGAAATATGCATACAGTTTGTCTGCCTAAAAAAAAAAAGACTCTTTTGGCTACGCAGCTCAGTCTGTAGGTATCTTGGCTTGGAAACTGAAGGTCGCCGGTTCAAGTCCCGCCCGGCCGGTCGAAAAAATTAAAAGTGCGTGGACTAGTAGCTGTGGAGTTGCCAGTGTCCTGGGCACCAAACCTGTATAGGCCTGTGTGTGTGTGTGTGTGTGTGTGTGTGTGTACAGTGGTGGAAAACTGGATTAGGATTAATAAAGCTTCATCTGTCTTTTTCTTAAATTATTGTTCCATGACTTGCTTGAATAAATAAATTGTTGCCTTAACATTAATGTGAACAATTTGGGTCAGACTAAACATTATAATCTACTCAAGTAGATCCTCAGTCAAGCAATTATAGGCTGGAAATGAGATCAGATATGAAGATGTGTAACACAGCTGTGTGACGGTGTGTCTTTGTTGTTAGAATATTCAGCAAAACGGTGAGCTATGAAATGTCTTGTCAAGACACCAAAGTAGAGATTTTACAGTCTGTTAGTCAGTCCTCTTTTGTCGATGATCGGAAATAAAACTCAGAGTCAGCTTGTAGTTGCATAGTGGGTGGTCCCAGTGGTATAGCAGATCAGGTTGAGGTAGCTCGGGATCCGTGAGTGAATTTCCTCCGGCGCTCATAAATGTTTTCATTCTCGACACACACGCAATATCCTCCCCCTGAAGATTGCAAAGGGTTCTACCACCACTTCTCAAAGAGGATTCTGTCTTTCGGGAGTCCGAAGTCTAGGAGGGTTTTGGAAAGTGTTTCTATCATGGGCGGGGGTCCACACAGGAAGCACAAAGTCCTCTGCAGGTCCACGTGAGAACGCAGCTCCTCCTCTGTGATTCTCCCACCTAAGGAGACACAAGGGAAGTCAAACAATGAATCAAGGCTCGGCGAGGCGGCACCTAGTTCTCCCTCGTCTGCCATGTGCAGCTTTGATAGAGTCGTTCTACATGAAGGACAGATTCATCAACAGAGAGAAACTGTGGTAGAACGTGACAGTCAGTAAATCATCCCTGCTAACAAATAACAGATATGCGTGTAGATATGTGCGGTTCGAGCATTACTTACGGTTGATAAAAGGCTGGAGGTGTGAGTCAACATCTGTGATCTGCTGCGTGACGTGGAGGTCACAGGAGAGCTTGTCGGGGAACTCCAGACACGCAGCGATGATGGAGCTCTGGGAACAACACAGGTCGTAGTTAAGGTAGAGTTTCTCTTATATAATGCATACTAGGCACACCTGCTCATGTGTACAAAACGCTTAGACACTGTTGTGTTTGTCTAGCTATATCGAAAGCTTAAAAATAAATCCTCAAATTATACTGCAATATATTAGGAATATTAGTAATATAACTAGGAATAGGTAGTATATTGATACAACTGCATATTGTTCTACTTGAGATATAGTTATATATAGTTAGTGAGCATATTGCAAAAATCACAAACACATTTTTAAAGCCGCCGGCATAAAGGTTGCTTTGCGTTTTCTTCTCTAGATCTCTCCCTCTCACAGACACAAAATATAGATACTAAATAATAAATATTACAAACCATTAAAACAAATAAAATACTGCCCGAAGACTGCATTTCAGATGAAACAGAATATATATATTGTGTGAAATCAAACTTATAAAACTAGCATACTTATATATCATAAACAGCTGTGTTCCCCTTTAAATTCAGCTACGTTTGATAGGATGATCCCACTTGTATAACCATATGCATCATAGAGTTAAATCAAACAGTATTTAAATCAAGAGAATACTTTATACATGTATGTTCCTGCATAGGTTCAAATATAATATATTATAATAGCCATGTCACCTAGACTTAATTCCAACAGTGAAAACCAACACACCTTGAAGAGCAGCTCCTGGGTGTTCTTGGCGCTGTAGCAGAGGTGGGCGGAGCCTATGTTGAAGTCCCGCCCCCCTGAGGCCTGGTTGCGATGCAGCAGATCTGAGGTGTGCAGCAGGATGGAGTACAAGGGGTTGATCCCCACACCACCCGCCACCAGCAGCAAATCAACAGAGGGGTCAGAGGGCGAGGGGTCGAAGAAGAAGTCCCCGCCGACACGCATGGCAACCTGGGAGCCCACTGTACACTGAGGAGGGGGGGGGGGGGGGGGGGGGGGGGGGAGAAGAGAGGCTGATAAGGAGAGAGCAGCAGACTGTGTTGACTCGTTGTCTCTTTCCCAGCAGCTGAAATACACCTTTTGACTTAAATAAATACAGCATCGCTTCCCCTACACCGAACACAAGCCTCAGGAAACAGACACTTTCAGTTCAGCGTGCAAACACACAACAAACCTCAGCTCAGTGTGGGGAAGAGAGATTTCACAAGTTGCGCAGAGAAAGCCCTTTGAAGTCACACACACACACACACACACACACACACACACACACACACACACACACACACACACACACACCACACACACACACACACACACACACACACACACACCCACACACACACACACACACACACACACACACACACACACACACACACACACACACACACACACACACACACACACACACACACACACACACACACACACACACACACACACACACACACACACACACACACACACACACACTTAATCTGCTGCTGTGTTCCCTACACTATCCCTGCTCAGTGAGAGGAGTCGGAGCGCAGTATCAAACAAATGGATCATCAAACGATCCCGGAGCAGAGAGCTGTACGTCTCAGGATGCTCAAACACATCACTTCGCTTTCTGAGACTTATTAAGACGAGGCGAAGAAGCTCAAAGCTATTTATTAGTCCCGTCATCAAACACAAACGCTGCAAACAAACAGGCAGAAAGTAGGAAAAGGCATTGTTCAAGTTCACACTACCGCTATTACTTTTTGAAGCCCAGATACAGTTAAGCACAGAGGACGTTTCTATATCTGTATTCCTTTTATCTATGTATTCACACAACCTTTATTTACCCTGTTTATTCACCATCTTTCCTACGTTTGTAGCCACACTATTATTCTTCTGAACTTCTATGCAGGCAGTTTTCAAATTCGCTGACTCACTTTAAGTAACCCTAGACAGCTGTTACGCAGCACCTCGACAAAAAGGATGAAGCGGATTATGATTTATGGGATTGAATGAACAATTGGGAGAGTATTGCAAGTTTTTAATGTAACTTTTCAGAACCGGCAAGGGCCGATTGCTTCTGCAGTCAAATTAAATCATCTGACGTTATCCTTTACAAAAATCACATTTTTAGAAATACCAGTGCTGCGAATGTGTGGCTGGAGTCTTCATTTCGCAACTCTATAACATTTTTAGCATTTCCAAACACCCTGATGGCTCCACTCCTTCTCTTCTGCATTTCACCTCGACACTTTCTCCCTCATGCATACACAAAATAATCCTCCAAACCATTAGATAGCAATCTGACCAAATGCACTTTACTGAAATATTTCAACTTATAGGAAGCAATCTTTTCCCTGGAAAATGACCACTCTATTTCTGATACACAATATCATATCCTGCTTTCTGCCCACTCACCATGGTGTGGATCCAGTGGGCGGGGGGGTGCTTTGCGTATTTGACGGCCAGCTCCACGATGCCCTCCCTCTGCAGCAGACCCGGGCCGGAGCACATGGAGAAACCTCCCACCTTCTCCACGCCGGGGATGAAGAGATCCACCCTGCACACACCACCACAACACACACACATGAATCCACCCACTTGTTCCATAATTGGCTGTTTAAACACATGCTTATCCATTTATAGACTAAAACCATGTGTTCCGTGTGAGTCTGACAATGTGTGGTACATGTAATGCAGTAGAGTAGATAGTCATAGCTGTTAAAGTGAAATGTATATACTGTATGTTTAACCTTAATACATAAAATATCTGTATATTTGTTCATTCAACTGTTCAGATTTTAACTTGTGTCATTTTTATTATTTCTATTCACACTGTTACTACATGTTTAATCTTAATAATATTTATTTTTATATTCTTATTATCCCATGTCTACTATCTGTCTGTCTGTCTTATTCTGTTTCAGACACCTACATTTCCCTACAGGGATCAATAAAGGTCAATCTTATCTTATCTTGGAACATAACATCAATTGTTTTATTTCAGCCATTTTTCTAATGTTTGTGTTCCTGGACAAAGACATTCTTATAGGAAATATAGCTGACTTTTCAGATTATTACAAAGGTTAATTGAAGAGTAGAAAACACGTTGGACTGAGGGTCAAAGTGTGAATGACCTTTGACCTCAGTGAAGAGGGCAGCGTGTTGCAGAAACCAAAGCAGAACAAAACCAGACCAGATGCAGAGTTGCCTTTTAGTCTTTTGAAAATGAAGCGTCCCAGTCTCTCGCACAACGTGGTCGCATCTGTCCGTCAGCGAGCGGTCAGCATTGCTGTTCTCCACTCCCAGAGGAAAACAGCAATGCTTAACAGTCTAATGTTCCGACAACACAAAGAGCCACTGTTACACATGAGAGAGAGACTCCACAGCCTTCGGAGGCATCATAAATATGGATCTGCCGCACACATATGTTCCACCCACCTCTTTCTCCTTCTCCTCATCCTCCTCCTCCTCCTCCTCCTCTCCCACCTGGAGACGAGCAACTAAACAGTCTCTTTTCCTCAGAAACATTGAAATGATTTCCATACTTTAACATTCATTATGAGTCGCTACGGAGCAACTGGCTGCTGGTTTAATGTCTCACCACCGCCCACCTACAGTATGGGCACATGTACATATACTGCATGTGGAGGGTCCTAATTAACATTGACAACACTGACTGACAAGACAAAGCTATGCCTTCAAGATGAAGTACTTAACTTGCTATTAGGGATAATGAGAGTCAATGAAGATTATCTTGAAAACTAAACAATTTTCAAATGTTTTGCAGAAGTCAAAAACAAGACACTGTGCCTCAAATATCTTTCAAGTGCATACAGTACATAAACTATTACCTACATACAGTATATTTATGAGCTAACTTGTTAATTAAGTCCCCAACTATTTGGTTGCTTATTTGAGTTAAAGCTTTAAACAATTCATGAACTGTCATCCTTCCTTTAGCTGATGAAATATATATCCTGAAAACACATTTTTCTTATAAACAGTGACCTAGAACTGGTTTACAGGCATGCTGTCATGTAGAACTGCAAATTCCTATTAACTGTAAAAGTTTTGGAAGGACTAATCCAACACAATGCCGCCACCTTGTGGTTACCATGAGCGCTACAGGCGAAATCCAGAAGGATGTTTCATAACGTTTTTAAAATGTTGGTTTGAATTTAGATTCTGATTTGAAGTGAACAGAGACTCGGATAACAGAGGCTTATCTAGATCATCGAGCATGTGTCGCTTGAAGGTATCATTAATGATATTTTTCTAAATATCAGGTGAAGGTGCATGTGGTAATATGGTACTGTTCTATGGAAAAATAATAGTCGATGACCTGATATAACTGTATTTTCTTTTAAAACATACATTTTCTCTCGAGTCTACTCACCACTGTCCTGCTTTGAAGCTGAAGTCTGGGGGAACAGCTATTCTCAAACGTTTCACCGTCTCCGACTCGTTAATGATGCCACGTACTTCAGCAGGATACAGAGCCTAAGTAAGGCAACACACAGGAACAGAGCAGAGTTTATTTATTTTATTTGTATTTAATCGTTTATTTGGCAGGGACAATGCACAGTAATGAACACTTAAAACATTCAAATGTGTCAAGCGTAACAGTGCCAGATTTAGCTTTGAGCTCATTTCCATCCCCTCACATAAACCATTTAAGAAAATTACATTTTACAAACATAGCAAAAACAAAATACATGATATGCAAAAAGTGCAAAAGGGCAAGAGCAGCATACACAAGTATTTATGACATGGTAATACAATATAGCAGCTACGACATATAAGGTGCAAGAGGAGTTACCCCTGTGTTAAAGTGCATTTAGCAGTGATTGCACGTTTCTTTGTTTCTCAACCATTCTTTGAGTTGACCTTTAAAGCTATTGAGAGTGGGACAATCCCGTATCTCAGTTGGGAGGCTATTCCAGAAAGAGCTGCTTTTAATGGAGAGGACATTTTGACCAAAAGTGGTCCGTCTGTCTGCGGTGGACTTCACAGTCTCCTCTGGTTTCTGACCTAGTGCAGCGTCCAGTGTGTTTTTTGTGGATGAAGGGGGGGGGGGTCAGTTTTTGAGTGTCAAAACTCAAGAACTTGTGTTTTTCAAGGATGGTACAGTGATGGTAAGAATTTGGCTTCCTATAAACCTAGGATGGGATTTCTCTTCAAATTGTACTGCTAAAAAGTGGCACAAGTAAAAGATAGTGTATATTAATCCAAAAAAATAAATAAATATGAACTTACATTTTGTCTGTTGTTGCCCGCTGTTCTCTCTAGATGGTCCATCTTTCTTTTGGAGGACATGTTTCTTTGAAAACAAAGGAAGTAGTTTAACCTCAAACATTACACAGTGAGTGAAGAGCCACATGACATTCAAAAACTGCAAGTGGACTTTGCCCTTTCTGCCAGAGAGCAACAACAAACCTAAAAGGGTCAGTGCACCTAAATTACAACTCACAACTAGCTGTGTCTAGCCATGGAGATAGTTTTAGTTTCATGTGCTTAAGTTTAGACATGATTCACACTTGTGCTGTTTTCCTGATTTAACAAAAGCAAATAGCCTTTTGTTTGTGGGGCTCTTAGCATTAAAACATACAATTGATTTTCTTTTAACTATATGGGGTGGAGACAAATGTCTGAGTAGACGATATCTAAAACCTCAACACATAAAATCCAAAAGCAACATACATCGTAATATCTCTATATGTTTAATTACTTTTACAATTTTCAGGGTTCATACATTTTTTCACCAATGATTTTCAATTACTTTTCCATGACCTTTACCTAATTTTCCATGACCAAAAAAATTACTCTTTCTCAGCGGTACCACTGAAAATGGTTTATTTTAACATGGAACAGGAAAATAAGGTTTGCATATGAAACATGTTGTGCCTATCTAAAACAAATCCAATAGTAGGCTTACTAGCTTCTACACGCCAAAGCAACTAAAATCTCTCACCAGCAAAATACCTCGTCAGTTAAATGCCATTTTACGTTTCATTACACTATTTATTATCATTATAGTATTACTATTTCGGCGATTAGATAACATATCAATTATATTTGATGCAACTTTAGTTACATTTCCATGACTTTTCCAAGACTTCCAATATTGTTTTCCATAACTTTTCCAGGGCCTGGAATTAGCATTTTGAATTTCCACAACTTTTCCAGGTTTTTAATGACCGTAAGAACCCTGCAGTTTATAATTATAAGCTTGCCTCTTTAATTAATATTTCACTCTACTTGTTCTTATTTTTCCGTTACACTGTCCCCTTTGCTGTAAGAATGTAAATGTTCCCGCTGTGCGACGCATAAAGACTTCTGATTCTGATGTTTGACAATATAGTCCTTAAAGTAAGTAACTCTTTAAGTAAAAACACACTTTTAAAATAACTAACAAGCATTCTCCTGGATAAAGACACACTATAGCTACCTTGTTGTCAGTCCCCAGTGCTTCAGGAGTGAGTAGCCTTAGTAGTAGAACACAATAAAGCCCCAACAAACACAGCTGGTACCTTCCAGAGTAAACTCACCTTGTGGCCTGGCTGGGGCCCAGCAGCCGGCAGCAGAGCGGCCCGGCGGCGGGAAACTGGAGGCTGAAGCTCCGGGCTGCGAAGGACCAGAACCCGGGGACTCGCATCTCTACCTGGGATGACATAAACGAAGAGAATTTAGCAAAAACGTTTTAATTCGCACTTGGAAAAAACACAATCATTCTCAGTTCATTTTCCTTCCGTATGATATGATAATAAAGTCTCTTTAAGTTACAGCAGCTGTCATCCAATTTAACCCCCGAACAATGCGGTGTGAAAAGTGAAAACGTCACCAAACTCACAGAATAATCTAGTATTCAAGTCAGGTAAACGCCCAGCAACCTTTCTCATTATTTCACTTATTGAAGTTACTTGAATAGACCCTTTCTCTGTTGTAGATGATTGTTGTTGTTTTTTGTAATTTCTATCTTTGTAAACCGTTGATTTGATCTATACTGTGTATGTGTAGGCCTACTATTCAATGTTCAAAAATACTTCCTTTAAATGTTGTACATTGTCAGGTAGTACATACAGCTAAACTGACACATTTAAGATGACTAAAGACTTAAGTGTTACTCACAATTTCATAATCTAAACTGGTGTTTTTTATATGACGAGAATGACAGGAATAAGAGGTCAAAATGGTGACATATTGATAAAAAGCCAAAAGGTATAATAGTGATTTATTTGTGTGTGGCTTGACCTCCCTCGTCAGGTTGATGGTTAGCTCACATGCTAAACCTGTTAGCATTCCGAAGCCGGTTCGTATTTTCACACAGACACATAACTCCATAGGAAACAACAAGCGGCAGAGAGGCTTTCCTTACCGAGATAAGACGATGTCAAATGGTATTCATATGTATCTTCCTTATAACCTTGTATAATAAGCTTACTGTTACATGACTATACAGTAGTCTTCTTCTTCTTCGTCTTCTTCTTTGAGGTTGTACTACAGCTGGCGTCTTCTTCTAGTAGATGAGTCGCTTTGCATTCAGTTTTTCGCAGTAGCGCCATCTTTTGGAGCATGGACCACCAGACTGCCCACTCTTTCTTACAATTTGAAATATCTTTCAAATATAAGTGTATTCCTTAAAACCCATTCACAGTATTAAACATTAAGTTGAAAGTAGAAACAACTACTAGAAATACATTAAAAACTGTTTCAATTCAAGCCATTTTAAACATTAATCTAGGATTTCCCCTCTCTTTCATTGATCAACAGTCATTTTTCTTTTGGGGGAATTGTATGCCTTATGTAAGACAGACTCATAGCCATAGATATTCTCAACCACAAAATGATCTGCTAAAATCAAGCCTAGATATGAGGCTCCATAAATAAATGCAATATGTGTGTTGATTATTTCTTCTACTTGGAGCCAATGAAGTGATTCAAGTATTATGTTGAGATTTGCACGGACAGAATGACACAAACCTAGGGATGTTGACGTTGGTCAGGGCTTTGCAAAAGCACATTTACACCACTAGATGGCATACTGCTTTGAATTGTATCAGTTAAACAGAAAGGGACTTGGTCATTTGTATGTGTTTGTTATTAAAACGTTTTATATTGAAATTACTGTATAAATATTACAATTATAGTTTGAAAGAGCCACATTACTACATCTTGTTGGACACACTATACTTTGATATGTAACTTAAAAAGTATTACTTTTACACCGTATTTTTCAATAGTTTTTACTAAGTTTTACTAAGAATGTATGAATCAGAATTATGAATTCGTTTTAAATTATTTTATTTAAGAAAGTTTGAAGTTGTCCCAATCAGCGTTATCACTATAATAACAGATAATAACGCAGACTTAATGTGCCATTAATGCTACACCAGTGTGATTTTTGGGCTGTAGAGAACAGTGCAGATATTCCCTATTGACACCAGGATTAACCTAAAAAAGGAACATTAACAGTGTAAGAGAGGCACAGATATAATAACAATAATACATGATATTCTTTCCAAAAATTCAATGTCACCTTACAAATAAAATATGAGTGGCAATACAATACACAAATGTGTTGCGTATAGGAAACCACAGAGGAAAATAACAGTCTAAGGAGCAATTGAAGTGAGTAAAGCCAGTTTGAACAAATTCGTTTAGGCTTGATTTAAAACAACACAGTGTCAGACTGTGTGACTATATGTTATATCGTTACTTATAATTCTTAAATGAATTTTGTATTTGTGATTATAATATATCAGACACTGAACTGAAGTAATGATATCACATATATGATATATCCAGACACTGTGTTATTTCAAATCAAGCCTAACAAATAAATAGTTCAAACTGGCTTTACTCACTTGTCACTTGAATTGCTCCATATGCAATTTTCCTCTGTGGTTTTCTATGCAACCATTTTTTTATTTTAACGCTGCTCGTAATTGATTTACTTGTGTATTGTAAGGTGACATGGAATGTTTTGAAAAGTGCCCTCAAATAAAATGTATTATTGGTATTTAACTGTGTCTCTCTCTCACACTTAATAGGGAAGATCTGCACGGTTCTCTACAGCCCATGTTCAGCAGAAAAGGTGGTGCAGCTGCCTGGTTTGGCACCCCCACTATAACTTTGTCAAGGGTGGTCATACTCCCACCAAAATCACACTGGAGTTTGCTGTTCACCTGTAGTTTGTGCACAAAGCATTTTACTCTGGGCTCAGCAGGTGAAAAACTAAAGAGGGGCTTCCACATGTGGCAGACCAGGCGTTGGTGCTGCCGGATTTGGAAACCCCACTATAACTTTGTCCAAGATAGTCTTACTGTCACCAAAATCACACTGGTGTTTGCTGTCAGCCTCTAGTTTGTGCTCACAAAAGCATTTTACTCTGGGCTCAGCAGGTTAAGAACTAAAGAGGTTTTTTTTTGTTTTAAAGTGATGTCAATCAATGTTTATTTATATAGCCCAATATCACAAATGTTACATTTGTCTCAGTGGACTTCACAGTTTGTACAGAATATCAGTATGACAATACGACACCCTCTTTCCTTAGACCCTCACATCGTACAAGGAAAAACTTCCGGAGAAAACAGTTTAAAGGGAAAAATGGGAGAAACCTCAGGGAGAGCAACAGAGGAGGGATCCCTCTCCCAGGACGGACAGACGTGCAATAGATGCCGTGCAAATATGTATTTAATTCTTATTTTCATCACCTTTTTTTTTTGTTTGATTAAAAAAAGCATCATATTAAATATCATCATATCTTTTTTTCAAGTTAGTTTTTAAGATTATATTACGTATTATTTTATTTATTTTATTTATTTTATTTATTTTATTTATTTTATTTATTTTATTTATTTTATTTATTTTATTTATTTTATTTATTTTATTTATTTTATTTATTTTATTTATTTTATTTATTTTATTTATTTATTTATTTTATTTATTTTATTTATTTTATTTATTTTATTTATTTTATTTATTTTATTTATTTTATTTATTTTATTTTATTTTTTGGGCCACATTTTTTTTCAAGCCTCAGTAACTTTCCAACTTTACCAAACTTATTTTTTACTTATGTCTTGTTCTGTCCTCCATAAATGTGTGCTCATCGTGTGCATAAAGGTACAAATTCACTCAAAATCACAACAAAACCTATAGGGCGTTCATTATCTAAAAACATATTGGTGGTTCAGAGGTCTATGCATTGGTTTTTCATGGTCGAGGTTCAACACCCAGGGGATGGACATCTTGTATCTCCTGCTATGCTGGTGTTAAATCTGGAGAAATTGTACCCACCACTTTTTCTAACCAAGTGACGCCCATGGCTGATACCAATACATTCTTGTTAGCTTAAAATATTAGCATGTATGTATAACCCCTCTGAAGTGATTATCAAGATGTAATCTGTCTCCATCTACTGGTCAAATAACAATTTGCTATATTGGGATGAAGATGTGAGAACTCAGCTCAGGATTCTTATGTACTTTGGTGAAGCTGGTAAACAAGTTGTAAAAATGGTCAGATCTTGCACTCAGACCCTCTTAATTTAGCCCAGTTTTTATATCCAGCTTGATATTCTAAATGTTATAGTGAGCTCTTTTTGATGTGATAAAAGTTTAGTCATTGATAAAATATTGCTTCACTATTAGTTGTTGGGAAACAGGTTTGTAGATTAGTTCAACGTTTGTAACTTACACCTGGTGTGGCTCTGTAACTATGTGAACATAAATAAGTAAATGTAGCATAAAAAGTTCAAGGTTTCTCACTCTACTCTAAATCTATTCAAGAATTAGGAGTTTCAGTTGGAGGGTCAATCACTAACATTAGGTGGCATGTTTCCAGGTTGCACTAAAATTGGTTAAATAATGTCGTTTTTGAAAAATATTTCACGACAAAGGCTACTTAAGACACTTTCGACAGCATGTATTTATAAAAATCTTCAACTATGTATCGGAACATGGTTAGTTGTCATGCTATATATTGGACAATGCTTTATCTAACTTTAAAACGGTTTACTCTAATGTGTTTGTTGTTAAATGTGGTTATTTTGGAAGTACAAAAAAGGTGAGGCCTGAGTACTTGATGCAAGCCTTTGTGCTTGTTTCTTTACTTCTGCAGTAACAAGGAAATGTTAGCTTTAAAAAATAGAAGAATCACAATGACAAGCCTCCAACGTTAAGGTGTAACTTACCAGTTTATGTTAGGGGAGTTTTGGTTTAAAGGTAATATTGGATAATGCAGTTTCACATAAGTCATGCAATTGTGTGGTCCAATTGTGTGGGTCAAGGTTAAGTGTAACCCTAATCAATAAGGCTCCTTATAAGAAGAATAGTCCACCAAATATGTGTGTGTGTGTGTGTGTGTGTGTGTGTGTTTGTGTGTGTGTGTGTGTGTGTGTGTGTGTGTGTGTGTGTGTGTGTGTGTTTGTGTGTGCATAGCTGCATGTTTATGTGGTCTTTAGTTTGTCAGTCTGGTATGAAAATTGCCAGTAAATTGAGATTCCTTTCTGCATTCCTGAAGGTTTCATCGTAAGTGTCTGTGGTTAGGCTCCGGTGAGTTTCAGAGGCTTTACTCACCGTTTAATAGCTCAACAAATCAAACAGAAAGAAACGACCCAACAATGCAATCCTTAAATCAAGCACACAATGCAATAGAACGTAACTATTTCCAATTACCAACACATAACTCGGCCTGCTCCACCCAAATTATTGGGAAGAGACAACAGTGTATTTGTTTAGTAGGTACAATTCCTTCTATCTGTTGACCTCTAAAACCATCAGCTTTTGGCTGTAATACATGCATTTGTTGACCAGCATGGTAACCAGTGTTTGAAGAGGCCTTTAGTGTTTGTGCTTTGAGAGAAGGCCGGTAAACCAGGTCTGGCCTTATTGTTCTCCTTAGATACAGTAGCCGCTCACTTCCTCTGAGAGGCTTTTGTAAGCTGACTCTACCAGTCCAACTGGCTGCCTTCTCCCATGGTTAGCACGCCTCGGCTCAACCTGTTGTTCAATGCTGCACAATGACAGATATTTTCAGGTTTATCATGTCCCAAGGACTTACTAGCCAACTAGTCTCATACGCACACGGCACATGTTTGATGCAAGCACACTACCGTCATCGCACACAAAATCACGACCGTAGACAGGCGCACGTATTTTGAAGTGTGCGCACCTGGCTCCACATACGTTGTTATGCATTGTTCAGTGAGTCATTTTGGGTTTAGCTTGCTTCTAATTTTGTCTCAGCTTATTGACCTGTAAATAGCAACTGAAATGATGCAGCCGTTTTGAGATTTTTAAACAATTATTGACGTCTATTGCATGTTGGTAATAACTGATATCCAGTTACAAACAATGAATACAAGTGTGCTAGTACCCATCAGGCTCCACAATCAAGGATTGACCCCTCATTACAACGTTTAGCAACCAGCACCACTGGTACATGACTTGTACCATATGTACCTACTTGGCCTCACACGTGCACACTTGCATATAGACGTTATACAT